TCCAAAACTGAATGAATTGACTCTGGTCCTTTTATCTATCAATTGAAGGTTCTGATTGGTGTGTTATCAATTTTGACTGTTTATGTTTCCACCTGGGTAGATGTGTGCTAATTGAGCTCAACCTATGCTGATTGAGTGAACAATATTGAATGTTAGTGCTTTCTCAACAACCACATGGTGTAGGCAATGAGAAATGAAGGGATTTGTGTGTAGAGTTTAGGAAAATGGCTGTGCTTTTTGAAAAATGGAATTATGGTTTTAAAATTTTAGTTCAAAAGGCTGCTTATAGTGTTTAAGCAATAGAGAAAAACTGTAATTGCATGAACTATTTAGTCAGTTAAGTTTAGTGTTGAAATGCCAAATTCCCATTTTAATGTCAAATCAAAAGCTATAGCTGGCTCCATTGGTCAGAATCTTTTAGTTGAGTTTATGTGTTTTTGTTCTTTTTTAGTGTAAAAACTTTTATTTTGTTGTATATTTTATCATGTGTAAGTATGAATAGCTCTTCAATGTGGTAACAAAATTGCAGTATTACACTAACAGATCATAGTGATTTCTCAATAACTTGCATGTTCTCATCTAAAATCCTAATTATATCAACACTCTTTCATTATCTGAAAATTAGATCATGAATGGAGGTCATCTTAAACACAAAACAACTTGGTTAGGTTTAGGGAAAGATCATATGGGTTAAAATAAGTACTTGGTAATGTTGGTGGGCATTTGTCATCATGGCTACAATAATAAATATTAAGGTTAGGGAATCACAGTGGTCATGTTTAAAAGATACCCACATTAACTGCCCTAAGGAAATGGGAAACAAACGCTGGTCTCTCATGTTAAGTTCTGACATGTTTCACAATTATAAGTAAGGATTCCTATTTACCCCTGAGGTATGGTGTTTGTGTGTGGCTATATGATCCTTATTTATCAGGCCTTATAAATCAGGCTGGATTATTGAAGATATTTCTCATGCAAAGCTCTGTAGAGATGTATGTGGTGTTACATAGTAACCCCACCCAACAAAAGCCTGGGTTTACAGTTTTGATTAATGAGGAGAGCAGCCCTGGGTTTTGTCTGTCACACCAACTGGCCTCTGTTTCTACTCAGCCATATACATATCTCCATATGGAGGAATCCTCCAAACTGAGGAATGTGGTGTTGATTCCCAATGTATCCAACAAGAGTATAGCTTCACACGAATGCAGAGGTCTGTATCATGCAGTGTGAAAGGATAGCTCCTCAAATGGACATACTGGTCCTCAATACAAGTGATAAAAGGTTAATACTTTAGGGAGTTGGAGCACTAAATAATGATGCATGTGGAGTTGACCTTTGCATAAGAACTAGCAAAAGAAACCACCCGGAGGAAAGTCCACACAAAAATGATCAGCTGCAAGGTGGCAAATGTGCTGAGAAAAAATGTGCTTTGATAGATTTAAATTATTCAGAACTTATCAGGTGTCAGTGAATGCAACATTTCTATCCATTGTAAATGTTACCATCATAAAAATAGACGTTTCTGCAGTATCTGCTCTTACTGCTCAGATAAAAGTAAAGGTTTTCCTAGATGTAGAGTTTCATCAAAAAGCAATTGTAAGTATGTATGGGGCAATGAATCTCTGAACCTTAGTTTGACCTTTGCATGTGGAGGACTAAGGCCTTTCCAGGAATGTCCTGACGCAGAAAACTAAAGTGAACTAAAGAAGTTGTCTATCATCCAACTCCTCCGCTCTTTGATCCCTCACACTCACAGAGTCGTCTTACTATTACAGTGAGACTTGTGTCTGTGACAGATGGACCAAGTGAACGGAGGATCAACTTTAGAGTCAGTCTGGTTTTGAAGTATCACACAACATCAGAAAGATCTATATATGTATGTATGTTGCATAACGGCACGTGGGGATCCAAGACAAAGGATGGAGCAGATTTAGGTCTAATGGCTTGTTTATTTTCCACAAATCTGCACTTTATGGCGGGGTTGTGAGTGAGGCAGATAAATCTTTTAATGGTTTTCCTGGAATGTGAAGTTCACAGGGAGGCTAGATTAAAACTGATTGGAGAAGAATTAGCTGTTTATCTTAGCAGCTTTTTTCTCTGCCTTGTTGCTTTAATGTTCAAACTTTCTAAGCTTCTGTGAGCCCAAACAAGCCAACACATTTATTTCCAGCAGCAATAATGGTCTGTTTGATGACATTGCCAAATGATACCATATTGAGTTTAACAGAGCTTAAGGAGCCAGAATTTGATGTAATTCAACATCATACTACAACTACTTTCCTGTGTGCACTGCAACAACAGAGAGAAATAAAAAAAACAACTTCTCATGTATTTTCCCAAACTTGTTTTTATCACAGCAGAAATCCCTGCTTACTAGTGACAGTCAGTGAATTATAGCTTGTTACCACCATCAGTATCTAGATCTCAACATCTAATAAGACACTGAATCGCCAGCATTCAAGGTAAGAGAAGAAATGTTTACAAAAACAACAACCTGGTACCTTTGGGATACCACGCTTTAAAATGTGAGACTCGAAGCGTTTGCTGCTATTGCACAGTCTTGACTATAGAAACAGTTCTCATGCTGTCTGTCAAAACACTGACAGATTACAGCTGAGCAGATGAAAGTTAATCCTATGGAAATGTTATAGATATATTAGTGCGTTAAATAACTACCGATTGAAGTTTTACCATTATACAAACATTTCTAAGGTTTAGAGCTATTCTTGAGGCAAAAATAGTAACTAGTTAAATAGGAGGATGCAAACAGCCACTGTTTGTTTTGTAATTAATAGACCGACAGAGCTAAAAGGAGAGAAAGCTAGTGTGAAGGAGTATCTGTCACCGACATGAATGAATTACTGTGGTAATTGGACTACAAATTCTCCCATGCTGTTAGTTTGCCGGTTAGCACACTTCTGTTAACAACCCATTACCACATACGGAAAAAGTCTCCTCTGTTTGCCAGATACTATTGTAAAACTCTGTACGAGACATTCAGTGAATAATGAGTCAGCATGAGTAGATCTAGATTTAGTTCTCACTATTAGACAAGGTTTTTATATCTCTCAACATTTGGAAGTAATTTTCCAAAAGATCTGGGAAAACCCTCACTGTGTTCAGTTCCAACACAAACAGAAATGTGTTGCTGGCAGTAATTACCTACTCTGCTCATTCATAAAACTCTTGGCCCTAAAGGAGGACTTCTGGCCTGAAGGTAATTTGGTGAGTGGCCTCATATTGTCACCCCTCTCACTGTGGGAGCCACTTACTGCATCAGAACCTGCAGGTCAATCAGAGGAGTCAGCTTGGATAGTTTCCAGTGGGAAAGGAGTCACAGGCATGTTCTGTATGTACAGCTGATGGTAAAGGACTTAAACTATGAAGTAATATATACTGTCTGTCAGGGTCATGGGTGGAATGGGAATGTGCAGCACTTGTCAAAGCAACATGAGACAACTAACAGAGTTACAAAGAGGCCCCATCTTCCTCGTCTGGATTCAATGGTGGAAAGAATTACTTAAATTCTGTACTTCAGTGTTTTTCAGTGTATTTTATACTACTTTATATTTCAACTCCACTACATTTCTGATGTACTTTTAATATCCTTTACTCTAATGTATTTTTTTTTTACTCCACTATATTTATGGACATTTGCTGTTGCCACCAAGACTCACTGTCTGATGTATTTGACTTTCCTGTTATATTAATATTAAGTCACTTAACCAACCAATCAGTTAGCTAAACTCAGACAAAACTGAAGCTATTGTACTTGGCCCCAAACACCTCCAAGTCACATTATATAAAGATATAGTTACTCTAGATGTCATTGCACCACCATAAGGAATCTCTGAGTTGTCTTTGATCTGGACATGTCATTTAACTCCTACATAAAATAAACTTCAAATATCGCCTTTTTTCACCTCCACAGTATTGCAAAAATCAGGCACATCCTGTCTCAAAATGATGGCATAAAAACAGGTCTATGCATTTGATACTTATTGCAAGTCCTTATTATCAGAGTCCATCCATACATCGTCAACCATTTATCCTGCATATCCTGGGCTGGAGCCAATCCCAGCTGACATCAGGCGAAAGGTAGGGAACACCCTGGGCAGGTCTCCAATCCATCGCCGGGCCACACATAGACAAACAACCAGTCACACTCACACTCACACCTAAGGATAATTTAGGATCACCAGTCAATCTAGGCCGCATGTCTTTGGATGGAGGGAGGAAGCTGGAGCAGACACGTGAAGAACACGCAAACTCCACACAGCTGATTCAGAATGCTGCAGCACGTGTACTGACAAGAACTAGGAAAGAGATGATATTTCTCCCTGCTACCACCTATAAGCTCATTCATGAACAATAAATAAATTGAACTGCACAGTCTGCCTCTCTGCGTCTGGGTTCATTCCCCACTGCCTTGTATAATCCACCGTGATAGGACATTTACTTATAATTAAGTATTATTTACAGTGTTGTATTGCTACTTTCACTTGTAGTAATGCGTATGAAACAAGTATGAAGCAAGTGCATCAGTCAAAACACTGGGGATAACAATGATATATCAAGGGACCAGTGTCTATTTATCTGCACTAAGAAAGAGGAACAGTGTTCAGTAGAGCAGATAAAAGAGGAATCTCAAAAAAATGTAATTGTATGAAAGCTACTGTATATTTTCCTGAGCAAACTACAATCTTTATAAAGACATTTCTTTTTAATCTTCCAAAAGATTTTTCTTCTTATAATGAACATGGAACACATGCTGAACATTGAAGTTTACTTTTACGGTGAAAAAGTTGTGGGAAGGAACAGTCAATAAGTATTTGTCAGTGTCTTTACGTTTGTGTTTTTCTTTGTCCCCTCTGTTGCCCATAGAGGAAACCCATCCCTTTGAGCAGTGTATGAGGGGGGTGTTGACTACCCATGCCCCAGTCTTCTGCCCTATCATTGGTCACCATGAAACCTGCATCAGTTTAAAACCAGACACAACTTTCTTCCCTCCCTTCACACAGCACAACCCCTAAAAAAGACAGATAGGGAGGGATAGACAGACAGTGTGCCAGACTGTGAGAGATAAACAGAGTTGGTCTCAGGATGCCTGCATACGCCACCAACATGAGGTGGAAGTTCCCCATTGTGGCCTTGGTTTTGGAGATTATCGCCATCATCCTGTTTGCAGTGTTTGTGGAGTATGATGATGGGAAACATCACAACGAGCACAACGAGCATGACAAACACACCAATGAGACTCACCATGAAAAGGCACCCATGGATCTCTACCCTAGTAAGTCTACCTGAGGCTGCTTGCTGAGGGATACTCTGCTACTGGATGCCTCAATCTTTGGTCACTAGACTAGTTTTGAAAAGGTTAAAAAATCTAATGTTCACACATTGCCTTTGCATTTTTGTTAAATTGTGAAAATTCACTTTAAAAACAGAGTTCAAATCTTCAGCAAAGCTTTGTGACACCTAACAGAGGCAAAGTCCTGCAAAGATAGATAATTGTGCAAGTTGTTCTGCTAACTCAGAGTGATTTTCAGAAGGATTTGGCAAAGTCTGATTTATTTAAGCTTAAATCTATTTAAAAAAATAACCACATTATAAATCTTCCAAGCTTTAGTTCTCTAGTCTTGAACTTTCAAGTGTTAAGTAAACTGAAAGAAAGCTGCCTTCCTTCTTTGGAATAATGTGAATTCTGTTGCAAGTATAGTAATTTTTCAATTACAGTACTTGCAAAGAGTAATAGAAGAATTTGGAGGCCTTTTCCAGAGCAAATCTGCTGAATGCAATAAGAGGAGTCATGGGGTTGCATTTTCACCCGTCACAAACTCTATTCATACACATGCAGCTGAAGAGTCAAGAGGATCCTGCAGGGAAAAGTGGCAGGTCTCCTACAGTGGAGGTCGCATGTGATTTAAATTAATGCGTCAAACACAGATGTAATAAACAACAAAGACAGATAGTAGATGGAGCAGAGAAATGCTGTTTGAATTCTTTGTAACATATCAAGTCATGGTACTTATTGATTATAGAGAGGTTTTTCTACAGGGGGTTTCTTTGCATTTTATCTGCAGTTGCAACTATAAACCGCTGATTTTACTGTAAGAATGTCTGCTCATGACTGGGTGGGGCAGGTGTGGCCCATAGAGATTAGCTCAATGGTCAGCATTAAGGCTGAGCATATTTTCTACTTCTTCTTTTACAGAGGGCATGTTCTTGCTATAAATGTTGTCCAGCAATGTCGTCTTCTACTGAATTTTTATCATTATTTTGGTTTCTTCTTTACTTTTTTTATCATACTGGGAAACAGTCATGTTTAAAGAAAAAAATACTGAATAATAATGAATAATAATTTGTGTCTAATATGTTTTTTCCACAAAAAGAGAAATTTGTGTGCCAACAATCCAAAATTGCCATTATGATATGTTAAGAGACATATCTGCAAATGCCTCAACAGCCTCAGTAAAGCATTTTAATTATGCAGAATGAGCTAATCCACGACCATTTAAATGTGATTTGAAACGTGCTACGTGCGTACAGAGAGATCCACTATCCAATGCATACCAGATGTCTGTAATTATAGGTTCAAAGGAAGACAAATAAGCAGAGAAATGCAGACTGGAGTGAATAAAATCTATCACAGCTTTTTGATCATGGAGCAAATCAGTTCATTTTTAGAACGATGTAAATGACAAATTATGGTAGTATGGTATGACAAAACACTACATGCATTTCTAATTAAAACTCTTGGAAAGTAATTTTATCTTGAGGAGTTGATTTGCAAAATGAAAACATCAAAGGTGAGGGAATTTGTTGCTCCAGCATTTAAAAAATTTTAAAAACTTTTTGCACTGGTTGCATCACCCTCAACAGTCTGTCCTATAGTAGGTTCTGAGGGTATTCCCTCTCTCTTGGCTCACCCTATTCTTCAGAAGATTACAGACCGTTACCTAACATCTGGGCGTGGTGCCAGTCACAGTGGCTGGTTTCCAACTTTACCTCCTCCCCATCTTCAATCTACTGTTCACTAGAAGCCCCTACTACTACTACTACAACCTAAAGCAAGTCTGAATCACCCAGCTGTAAATGGGAGGGGGGTCAAAGTGCAAGTTGAAGGAAAAATAGGTTTTCTTCAAACACGGCTCCACAAATGTGAGACAAATGAGATATTTATACCAATATCATGCTGATGCAAATTTCACCGTTGTTTTCTTGTTAAATCATACAGACTTCATCTATGGTTTGACACTAAAAGCCACAACGTTTGCCACAATTCAACATTAAAGAGTGAAGAATTACATTTCAAAAAGATAATGTCCATGTAACTGTTTCCATGTAAAGTGATTCAATGTAAAATGGATTCGGTTGACAAGATGAGATATGATTTTAACAATCCCTCACTACAGAATTGTCCTGTGTCGTTTGGGAGGGGATGATCATGGTAAATTAAGTAAATTGTATTGTATTGTATGATTGACGAAAGTCATTTTAAAATAATGATATTAATGTGACGCGATTGATTAAATCATTGTATTACGCAAGCCTTGCTCTGTCCGCACGTAACAAAACCCAATAATCAGCACCTCCAAAGCTCAAAGATCAACACGTTATTTCTGCCTTGTTTAATGCATAAAAGATTGAAATTTGTAAAAATCACATGTTGTCGTTGTTCGGGGGGGTTATGTGCTGGGGTTTTAGTTCGGTGCAGTGACTCCATGTAGTTCTCGGCTAGTTACTACAATCGCTCCATGAATTGAACAAACGACATATAACATGTTTATCAGTGAGCTTCAGAGGATTTGACAGACAGATTTTGTTTATGTTTAGGCAAAGCTAGGCTGGCTGTTTCCCCTTGTTGCCCAGGGTTTGTGCTAAGCTAAGATAACCAGCTAATTGCAGTAGCTTCACATTTGACACACATAAGACATAAAAGAAACAAACAAAAATGTCAAACTTTTCCTTTAAGAGCAGCAGTAAATGTCTGCCATTTCAAAGTGTGTCCTGTCTGGATAATACTGGCTACCTTCATGCTCATTAGAGACTAAGGAAATGAAGCACATTGTTTCTCAGCCTGGACACACCTTCACCTTAATGTATTTTCCACATGAGGGGTTTGTCATCTCTAGCTTAAAGGTTTGTCCCACTTCCTGTCAGGATGATGGAAATTGGGGGAAACGCCCAATTCTACGCAAATCCCCCCAAAATGACCCAGATATATATAGCTTCTTCGCTTGGGAGCTTGCCATTTTCATACTGCTGAGAATACAGTGAAAATCCCAAGTATGTAGTGTGACACGAAATATGGGATATGATCTAAACAAATTCCAAAAACCTGTTGTCTTTGTCCGATTATAAAATGAGATTTGTACCTACATTAGGGTGTGCTAAGCGTCCCCTCCTCCTACGATTTCATTAAGTTTAAACTTATTAGGATCATAAGCACTTAATAGAAACTCAACAGGCACAACAGGAACGTTTTCCCAGAATACCATTCATAAGATGATTGAATTGCTTTTCCAGCTAACAGGTCACGGCAGACAATAAAGTCCCAGTGGAAGGAAATGGCTCTTGAAAAATCCAGTAGCTGCTCAATAAATCATTTAAACTACAAAGTCAAAAGAACACCACAGCGAACAGCAATGTCGTAGCATATGACTGATGTCTAACAGAAGAAAATGTTTGATAAAGATGTTTCAATCTGATTCAATTTCATGTCCACATTTAGCAGAGGCTAAAGTGGGACTCTCACAACAAAACATCAGGGTCTGTCAACGTATCACCAGCAGAACTGACCTCCCTTCTCATGTCTCCAGTGTTTCAGGATGTCCACGTTATGATCTTCATCGGCTTCGGGTTCCTGATGACTTTCCTGAAGAGATACGGGTTCAGCAGCGTGGGCATCAACTTACTCCTGGCTGCCTTCGGCCTGCAGTGGGGCCTCCTCATGCAGGGCATCTGGCACATGGATAATGGCAAGATCAAAGTCAACATCTTCAAGTATGAATGTCTTTTCTGCATGTTTTGGTTCTCAGTAACCTCCAGATAAGAATTTAAGTAGGCCTATGTATCAACTGAGTAGCTGCTTAATGAACAGATTAATTATTCTATTGGCTGCTAAGTAGCTTTGACACTTGGTTTGGTAGATGATGATGTTTGAACTATGCTGGTTGACGGATTTCCGTGTTTCACAATTTCTACTCATTAATCCATTATTTCTGTTTTCCTAAAGACTTGTTTTCTTTCCTGTCCTTCAGAATGATCAACGCAGACTTCAGCACAGCTACGGTCCTGATCTCCTTTGGAGCTGTTCTGGGTAAAACCAGCCCTGTTCAGCTCCTCATCATGACCGTACTGGAGATCACCATCTTCTCCATCAATGAACATATTGTGGCCGAACTGCTCGGAGTAAGTACACAATGACACATGCATGTGTTGATGAGCTACGTGAGCAAAACACGGCATTAATTCCTGCATCATGACCAGGACCTTCACTGTGTCAACTGAATTTTATTAAACATAGATTGGCATGACTCCACTGTTATGAACCTGTATGACCTTTTCTTTCACAGGCTAATGATGTTGGAGCATCCATGATCATCCACGCTTTTGGAGCCTACTTTGGCCTGGCAGTGGCTCGAGTGCTTTACCGACCAGGTTTAAGAAACGGACATGAGAATGACGGATCTGTTTATCACTCTGATCTGTTTGCTATGATTGGTAAGAGCCAGTTACACTTTAAACTAATGTGATTATTTGTGATCTGCTTGTAGCAGTAATGTTTCATTTGGCTGTAATTTTCCCTGACTGGTTCACCCCTGGCCTCCTGCACATGTATGACTTGTGCCACCTAGTGGACACAAATAACCATGCAGCATGTTAAGTGACTAAGCAATATTGACTCTACTGTGCATCAATCCTGCAAAAATCAATATGAATACTTACCCAACTTGCAGTGTGATGTGATATGAATGAGATTTTCAACATTAACTGATACAAATGTTACTTTATCACTTCTATAGGAACCGTCTTCCTGTGGATGTTCTGGCCCAGTTTTAACTCGGCCATCGCTGACCCGGGCTTAACTCAGCTCACAGCAGTGATCAATACCTACTTCTCCCTGGCTGCCTGTGTGCTCTCTGCCTACGCCATCTCCAGCCTCGTGGAGCACAAAGGAAAACTGGATATGGTCAGATAACTTTCCTTCAATATCCACACAATAACACTATTTTAAGATTTTATCCAACTAATTCAGTTATAAACTTGTTTTTATACCTTTATATACTACAGGTGCACATTCAGAATGCCACATTGGCCGGTGGGGTTGCCGTGGGAACATGTGCTGACATGAACATTGGGCCATTTGGGGCAATGCTGATTGGATTAGTGGCTGGCATCATCTCTACCCTGGGCTTCAAGTACTTAAGTGTGAGTTGAAAATCAAAGCAAAAGGAGCAAAATAAAAAAACACCGATTAGTCAATTAATCAATGTGTCCAATTTCAGAAAATTGTTTAAATTTGTTAAGCAAAAATGGGGGCTGGAAATCCCTGGTTTCAGCTTCTCAAATGTGGATATTTTCTGGTTTTCTTACTCTTCTATGAAAATGAATTGAGCAACTTTTAGTTTTTGTTTGTTGGTCAGACAAAATGAGACATTTTAAACCATCACGTTGGGCACTGTGAGAGGCTTTTTTTTTTTTACAATTTGATTACATTTGTTTTAGACCAAACGATTAATGGGTGAGTTACTAAACACTTGATACTTAGCTATTAATGTCTATGTAAGCCAAGGGTTAACAATAAATAGATGGAATCTTACATATTTTTTTCTCCCCTTCAAATGGATGTTTCGCCTTTTAAAAATACACTCCTTTGTAACAAGAGGCTTTATTTCCTCCTCTATAGCCCATCCTGGCATCCAACCTCGGCATACAGGATACCTGCGGTGTCCACAATCTGCACGGCATGCCTGGCATCTTGGGCGGGTTGGCTGGTATTGTGGCCGTGGCTCTGGGGAAAAAAAAGGGGTAAGGGACATTTTTATCACCACAAAGACTACATATAATGATATACACGCACTCACACATAACAGTATTGCAACATATAGGTAATTTTATGTTTCAGTTACATTTCAGCTCTTACATTCATGTTTTCTTTCCCCCTCCTCTTCAGAGGTGATGCTGCCATGCAAACTGCTGCCTTGGGTTCATCCCTCGGGTTCGCTTTGGTTGGAGGTGCTATTACAGGTGGGTGGAGATGAAAAATAAATAAAAGACCATAAATGTGACAGTTTAAATCCTGAGCACAGGGTTTTTCACTCAGCAGAAAGGCTAGTGTTCTTATGATTAAGCAAAATGGCATCATCTGAGTGATCAAACAATTTATTTGCTTCTTCAAGGTTTAATAATGAAGTTGCCATTCTGGGGACAGCCTCCAGACCAGAACTGCTTTGATGACTCTATCTACTGGGAGGTAAGAAATCCCATTCCTTATGAATAATATCACTAGTATCTTCCTGTCAAGCACCGCATGCATAGATGCAGTACTCCCATATTTTTTTGTTTATTAAATTAGTGGTTTGGGGATCATATTAAATGGATGTGGCTCAACCCAGAATTAGAAATCAAAATTGTATCTGTTTGTGAACTTGACCCAGATGGTACAGTATATAAACCAATAATTGTTTGATGTCCACATCACATAGAATCATGTCTTATTTAGGTCTCTCATTACGCTACAGACAGATAATTTGGACTGCATGTTTTCCAGGTTCCTGCAGAGGAGGAGGAGAATGAGGAGAGTTTGGCTCACACCGATCACTCAAAGAACAAAGCAGAGGTTTAAATACATGCCTACCGACCATTGAGCTAGAAATTAAGATAAAAGGATCACTAATCTGCTACACCATATCAGCAGATATCAATTTGTCAGTTATGTTAACGTAATTAAAACGACTTTGCTTGACTCAGCAACACAAAATAATTTTTTGTTTAGTCAATTTTGAAACTCTTATGAGCAAATATATAATCATAGTAGTTTAAATTAGTAATTAGGAAGGGCGTGAAATGTTTAAACAATACAGACTCCAAAATATACATGAGTAACCACTGTTAACATAAAGATTTGGTAAATCCCATTTACAGTAAGAAAAAACATTTTTAGGAAAAGAAGAGCAGCAACCTTCAGGGATTTTTTTACACTGAAAATTGTGATCAATAATTTCCAACGGTCATGATCCACTGTAGAAGTGAGTCACATCATAGCTTCACTGCTGATGCACAACTACTTCTAGAGATGCACCGATAGATTTGTTTCGGCCATGATTGGTGACCGGGGCCGATCAGTCTCAAATAACGGATTCCGTGCCGGTCACATTTAAAGGCATGATGCACCGCACGATGGTTCATGTCACGTTAACAGAGGCACGGACAGTAACCAACTGCTAAAACATGTCGTTGACGTGAGTGAAGAAGACCAACACCCCACCCCTGCCACAAATTTCACCATCATTCTGCAATTCATTTTCAGTTGGATTTTATTTGTACAAAGAAGTTCTGTCCAGTAGCCTAACCTGGAGCTCTTTTTATTTTGAGATTTGTTTGAGTCCTGTAACCTGGTGCAGTTCAGGAGAAAATGTGAAAGTTATTTAATAGTTTAATAGTGTTTTCTTATGAAAATACAAGTGAAAGGAACCCAGGAAGAATAAGCAATGCTTGCTTGCAATGCAATGCTGGTGCTAATGGGGATCCTAATGAAGAAATTATTTTCCATTTAAGAAAGGTTACAAAAATGCTTGTGTATGTTGTGACTTATAGTTTTTAGAAAGAAAGAAAATCGGAATCAGCCAAAATTGGACTGGGCAGGTCAGACAAGAAAATTGCAATTGGTGCATCTCTATCCATAAGCTTTTTTTATTTTATTTCATCTTTATATTATAAAAAGCATAGACGCATGTTTCATGATATTAGCATAGTATATGTATTTTTCCTCATACGTTCCTATATATTTCCATACACCTGGCAAATGTATTTCTGCGGAGGCTCAGGTCAAAGAAAGGAGTTAAACCTGCTTTGATTTGCTGCTTCATGTCACCTCACTGGAGCCCAGTCCTTCTGCAAGGAGTCAGAGTCAGACGGTGTGAAACCAGCAGTGAGGCTCTGATATGGGCAGGGATAGTCAAAGGAAATGTTGTAACTAATGAACCTTCGCATTATTCATCTTCCACTGCTTACAATCATTTTCTATCTACCTGAGTGCAGCTGTATTTCTTTAATGCAATGAGCATTTGAAGCTGTGCATTTAGCATTGGAGTGGCTCTCACAAGGGCAACTAAAGTTCATTTCTTTGTCTGTTTTCTATTTACATCCAATGTATTCTTTCATATACATACAGTTTAGCTTTTAGATGGATTGACATGGTCAGTTTTATCAAGGTCCTGCAAGGTTGAAAAAGGACAACTGATACTACCTTTTTTTCAGACAATAATTAAACAGGAAATTAAACACTAATAAACAGGAAATGTCTTACATTTATATGGGAGGTGCGAATGAATAAACATTCTATTTTCACCATACCAATATATGCATCAGTTGGCCTTTTTTGTACCTGATTTTTCAATAGGTGAGTTACTGTTGGACCGTCACACCTGCAACAAACCTCCTGTGTATATCATAGGATTAGAGAGCCATTTCTTGCTTTTCAGTATTTGTCTAAGCTGCATGGTGTTGGAGTGCCAACAGAGTTTAACATTAAAACATAGGACTGCAGGGCTAGATTAAACTGACTACACACACAGTAGTGTTAATCAATGACATTTTGGTTTGTCAAATGATTTATGATGCCCAGAACTCTGAAACACATTACGATTTTGTATTTTTATTTAGTGGGCATGTGCTCTTGTTTGTATAATAAACAAATTTTTTCATAATAAATATGTTTTTGTACAATACCAGTGTTTACATGTGTTTCTGTGGTAGTAATCTTGAAGTGAGTTCAGATATTTGCGGAAATGTTACAATCTTATGACTTCCTTACATTTGACTGTATCTTGATACAATTAAGTCAGAAGAAAATCAAGAATACTTGCATTACATTAGGTGATATTTATGCTAATGACTAGTGATTGCTTGACATCTGATCTATTCCATCTAGGCCATGTTGATATTTGTGGTTTTGAGTCAAATGACTCAATAAGTATTGGAAGAATTGCCAAAAACTTTGGTTCATTGATGTCCTCCCTCAGGATGAATTAGAATGATGATCCCCTGACTTTTCCTCTAACGCCACTAGCTGGACAAAATTCAAATTTGTCCCATTATCCTACTTTATGACCAAATATCTGCAAAATGAATGCCATACCCATCAGCATGAGCTGTACTTTGTGTTCAGCACCAAATAGCAGAGCCAACAATAATTTGTCACAGACATGTTGGTGTCAGCATATGTCTAACTAGTAGCTAACTATTAGGATATGTGTGAGGTAATTTGGATACGGGTCACCATTCCTTTGTCCACCAGAAAGTTTATCTGTAAACTGTAAAATATCTTGTCACATATCTTGGTCACAAAATGTTTTGTGTTAGGGATCTTTACCAAAACTGTTTGATGAAATGTGCTCTTTAGAGTGAACTCTTCTTTAAAGTGGGAATGAACGAGTGGGCAAGTGCCCCTCAAAGCTTCTGTTGTCTCATTTTAGCATGTTTATCATTTTAGAACATTTCTGGAGGTTTTTCCCAGCCCAAACATGCTAGTAATATAAGCAAATTACAGTTGTATGAAAGCTCCTGTATGTTTCCTTGTTTCTAAATAGCAAATATCTGTTTTATAGAGACATTTCCTTTTGAATTGTCTTAAAAATCTTTTTCTTCCAGACATGACATGAAAGTTGAGTCAAACATAACTTTGACAGTAAAAAAAAAAAGAGTGGGAAGGAGCAGTCATCAAGTATTTCTCAGTGTGATCATGTTTGTGTTTAACTTTGGCCCCTCCGTCGCCCATAGAGCAAAGTGCACGAGTGGGGTGGCCCCAGTCTTCTGCCCTTTCATTGGTCACCATGAAATCTGCAACAGCTTAAAACCACCACTTTCTTCCCTCCTTCACACAGCACAATCCCTAAAAAGACAGATAGGGAGGGATAGACAGACAGTGTGTCAGACTGGGAGTCATAACCAGAGTTGGTCTCAGGATGCCTGCGTACACAACCAACATGAGGTTAAAGTTCCCCATTGTGGCCTTGGTTTTGGAGATTATCACCATAATCCTGTTTGCAGTGTTTGTGGAGTATGATGATGGGAAACATCATGGACACAACGAGCATGACAAACACTTCAATGAGACTCACCATGAAAAGGCATCGATGGACCTCTACCCTAGTAAGTCTACCTGAAGCTGCTTGCTGAGGGACACTCAGCTATGCATCAGTGTTTGGTCATTAAAAATGGTGGATTAGTTTTTTTTCATCTAATGGTTCTAACACATTACTTTTGTAACAGCTTTGAGGTTAACATTTTTGTTATATTGTGAAAATACACCCTAAAAACACTGTTCAAATATCTAGACCCAACAGAGGCGAGGTCCTGCAAAGTATAATCATTGGGCGAGTTGTTCTGCTGACAAAAGTTGATTTTCAGTAGGATGTGGCATAGTAGTCTGATTTATTACTGTTTAGGAAAATGCTGAAATTAAGCTTATTTATACTTCCAACCTTTAGTTCTCTAGTCTTGAACTTTGAAGTGTTGAGTAAGGCTTCCTTGATTGGAATAATGTGAATTCTATTTCAAGTACCGCAATTTCACAATTACAGTACTTGAAAACAAAAACTGAAGAATTTGGAAGCCGTTTCCAGAGCAGCCCTGCTGAATGCATTGTTAAGAGGAGTCAAGAGGATCCTGCGGGGGAAGGGGCAGGTCTCCCACTGCCTCAAACACAGAGATAATAAACAACAAACACAGATGGTAGATAGAGCAGAAAAATGCTGATCTAATTTTGTGTAGCATTTAAAAGCATAATTTTCAAAAAGTTTTTGTTTAAACTATGGCAGCTTTGTAAGCATAGAGTAGGTTTTCTTCAAAAACAGCTCCAAAGGTGTGAGCCAAATCAGATATTTACACCTTGCTGTTGTCAATACCATGCTGACCACGTTATGCAGCATTAAACAATGACACGATCAGGATTGTTCAAGCTGACCATGACCACAAACTGAATTTCACCAGTTTTCTTGTTAAATCATACAGACTCGTGACACTCGGCCCCGTGTCATTTTGAAGATGACAAACCATAGATCATTATTTGTTTTATCTAAGTAAATTAATGTGTGACTGAAGACCGGCCATCTGCGCACTATTTGAGGACCCTTGTTGGACTTTCATCAGGCCCCAATGCTTTTGCTGGATCCATGTTACGCAAGATGTTCATATCATATTTTGGTTTAGAGTGAACACGGCCAATAAGAAATGATGGTAATGGACAAGTGTGCTGTGGTTTTGCGTGTGTGTGCAATCTATACTTCTCTGCAAAGGCTGCGGATGGTGGCCTTTTCATTTCATTTCATTTGCTGTAATGTGGGGAATGCCCTGGTGTTCTAGGACAGGGATGTTTGTTGATGCACTTCTACCAGAAATTCATTTAAAATACTCCAGTATTTCTGGCAGGTATTTTTTCAGTTTGTTGCTCTGTCTTTTAGCTCGCTTTTCTACTTGGATGAAAGTAGCTCTTGCTTCAAGGAATTTCTGTTGTGCAGCTGGGCTGTCTGCATCTTACAATAGAGTGGGCACTTTTTCCTGGCTGCTCTTCGTCACTGTTCATTAAACCAAGCTTTATCACCAGGTTTTCTGGTGATAGTCCTGTTTGGTATGACTGCCTCCATGAGATTCTGACGGCAATATTAGTGCTGATTATTCCCAGATCTTTTTCCCTGAAGACACTGGACCAATTAACAGAGGTTAGGTACCTTCTCATTTCCCAGAAATGAGCTTTGTTATATCTCCACACCCTCTGCTTTTATGGCTTATCTTATTTGCCAGGGTCTTTGTGGTTGCTAGGGTGTCCGATAGGACTAGATCTAAGATGTTGTTTCTGCTGGTTGGTTTGCAATCTGATCTAGTCCTAGGCAGTTGGCAAGTTGTAGGGCACATCATCCAGCAGCGTCTGTGATGTTGCTCCACAACCATTTTTAATGATGTACATTAAAGTCACCAATGAGAATTGCAGACTGGGGTCTGAACTGGTCCATCACTTGGAGTTACTTGGAGGATGATGCACAGCTCCTAGCAACAGTTTACTGCTCTTCAGAGCAACAGTGAACCACATGAGCTTGAAGTCTTCAGGGTCTTTGGATGGATTGTGGTGGATGGAAGTACCAATTAGATAGTATACTGCAATGCTGCCAACAACAGCTGGCCCTTAAGCCCATGAAACACATTTTAGCAGTGCGACAGAGATACTTTGTACATGACCTAATCTGAAAGCATCATGCAGAGCAGGTGACTTATAACAAATCGGGTTTCAGGAGAAACCACTTGGTCAAGGATGGGGTGGTTGTACTATTGATGATCCCTACTACCCCTTTTGCTACTTGATAAATTCTTAAAATGAGAATAGGCTGACTTTGTAATCGTCTTAATGTGGCTAAAATTGAGTCTCTTTGTGGTTTTTAATTTTTTTCCGAAGGAAGCTGAGAGTTGACTTTTAATTGTTCTTCCTTGCCTCCAAAAAACAATTATTCCTCAATGCACTTACTCGGTGCTTGTATGGGATTATACTCCCCCGGTGATATGGTTATGTAAATTTGGGTGTCATCTGCATATCTATGTTGACATATTTTGTTGTTTTCTATAATCTGAGCCAGTGGAACCATAGAGAAACAGAAGCCCAAAAATATCACATTTTAACAGAAGATTTTTAAAATGTGCCTATATGTAAAAACTGACTGCTGGATGTAGTGACTCCATGTAGTGTCCAGTGATGGTCTGGCAACCTTGTGGTGACTACAATCACTCCAGGAATTAAACAAATGAGATAACATATTAATCAGTGAGCTTTTGAGGATCTTAAAGGCAGATATGGTTTACCTTTAGACAGAATTAGGCAAACTGTTTCCCCTTTTTTCCAGTGTTTTTGTTAACCTAAGCTAGCCATCTGTGAGCAGTAGCTTCACATTTGACGCACAGACATGAGTGTGGCATCGATTTAATCTGACCTCCCTTCTCATGTCTCCAGTGTTTCAGGATGTCCACGTTATGATCTTCATCGGCTTCGGGTTCCTGATGACCTTCCTGAAGAGATACGGGTTCAGCAGCGTGGGCTTCAACTTACTCCTGGCTGCCTTCGGCCTGCAGTGGGGCCTCTTCATGCAGGGCATCCGGCACATGGATAATGGCAAGATCAAAGTCAGCATCTTCAAGTACAAATGTCTTTTCTGCATGTTTTGGTTCTCAGTAACCCTCAGATTAGATTTGCAGTTAAGTATGCATCACAAACTTAGTAGCTGATCAATGAACCAATGAACTGTCATGTTGACTGCTGAGTAGCTCTGACGGATCCCTTTAGGTTTGGTAGATGATGGTTATGCTGGTCTAGGGATTTACGTGTTCCACCTTTTCTACTCATTGTCCTATAATTTGTATTTTCTTAGAGACTTGTTTTCTTTCCTGTCCTTCAGAATGATCAACGCAGACTTCAGCACAGCTACGGTCCTGATCTCCTTTGGAGCTGTTCTGGGTAAAACCAGCCCTGTTCAGCTCCTCATCATGACCTTACTGGAGATCACCATCTTCTCCATCAATGAACACATTGTGGCCGAACTGCTCGGAGTAAGTACACAATGACACATGCATGTGTTGATGAGCTACGTGAGCAAAACACGGCATTAATTCCTGCATCATGACCAGGACCTTCACTGTGTCAACTGAATTTTATTAAACATAGATTGGCATGACTCCACTGTTATGAACCTGTATGACCTTTTCTTTCACAGGCTAATGATGTTGGAGCATCCATGATCATCCATGCTTTTGGAGCCTACTTTGGCCTGGCAGTGGCTCGAGTGCTTTACCGACCAGGTTTAAGAAATGGACATGAGAATGACGGATCTGTTTATCACTCTGATCTGTTTGCTATGATTGGTAAGAGCCAGTTACACTTTAAACTAATGTTATTATTAGTGATCTGCTTGTAGCAGTTGTGTTTCATTTGTCTGTAATTTTCCCTGACTGGTTCACCCCTGGCCTCCTGCACATGTATGACTTGTGCCACCTAGTGAACACAAATAACCATGCAGCATGTTAATCAGAATCAGAATCAGAATCAGCTTTATTGCCAGGTATGTGTACACATACGAGTAATTTGACTCAGGATTGTACATTGCTCATGATGTGCTTACTCATACAAAAATACCATAACACAATAATAAAATAATAATAAAATAAAATCAGACACAAACTACAGTATAGACAACACTAATATACACACTATGAAAAAAAACAATATAGACATATTGACAAATAGTGCAGTGATCAGAGTACAAAGGATGCAAGAGTAAACTATTATTCTCATTATGTACATGTTGAATTGAATTGAATGAAAAGTAAGTGACTATGGTAAGCAATATTGACTCTACTGTGCATCAATCCTGCAAAAATCAATTTGAATACTCCACAATTACCCAACTTGCAGTGTGATGTGATATGAATGAGATTTTCAACATTAATTGATACAAATGTTACTTTATCACTTCTATAGGAACCGTCTTCCTGTGGATGTTCTGGCCCAGTTTTAACTCGGCCATCGCTGACCCGGGCTTCACTCAGCTCACAGCAGTGATCAATACCTACTTCTCCCTGGCTGCCTGTGTGCTCTCTGCCTACGCCATCTCCAGCCTCGTGGAGCACAAAGGAAAACTGGATATGGTCAGATAACTTTCCTTCAATATCCACACAATAACACTATTTTAAGATTTTATCCAACTAATTCAGTTATAAACTTGTTTTTATACCTTTATATACTACAGGTGCACATTCAGAATGCCACATTGGCCGGTGGGGTTGCCGTGGGAACATGTGCTGACATGAACATTGGGCCATTTGGGGCAATGCTGATTGGATTAGTGGCTGGCATCATCTCTACCCTGGGCTTCAAGTACTTAAGTGTGAGTTGAAAATCAAAGCAAAAGGAGAACATTTTTTAAAAAAGGGGAACAAAAGTGATTTTAAATGATACTTTCTTAAAAGGTTCTCTTTTAATTTATTGTGATAAGTCAAGTAATCGATTTGTCAACTTCTAGAAAATCTGCAGCAATTTCAAGAATAGATTCATTGTTAAGTAATCTTTAAGCAAACATTTAAAATAAAAATCCCTGGTTTCAGCTTCTCAAATGCGGATATTTTCTGGTTTTCTTACTTTTCCATGAAAATTAATTAGTTTTGATTTGTTGGTCAGACAAAATGAGACACCTTGGGCCCTGTGATGGGCATATTCTACAATTTGATCTGTTTTAGACCCAACGACTAATCGAGAAAATAATTGGCAGATTAAGTGATAGTGAAAATAATCATTAGTAGCAAAACAATTGATATTTGAAAAAAAAAAAAAAAGCCAAAGATTAGCAATAAATAGATACAATCCTACATGTTTTGGTGATCTGAAGGCTCATGACAATTTTTAATCAAAACCTTTTAAAAGCCTTTCTTTCCTCCTCTATAGTCCATCCTGGCATCCAACCTCAGTATCCAGGATACCTGCGGTGTTCACAATCTGCACGGCATGCCTGGTATCTTGGGTGGGTTGGCTGGTATTGTGGCCGTGGCTCTGGGGAAAAAAGAGGGGTAACATTTTACCACCACAAATCTTACAATTATATGTATACACACACACTCATAACGGCATTGTAGCATATGACTAATTTTATGCTTCAGTCACATGTCAGCTCTTACATTCCTGTTTTCTCTCCCCCTCCTCTTCAGAGGTGATGCTGCCATGCAAGCTGCTGCCTTGGGTTCATCCCTTGGGTTTGCTTTTGTTGGAGGTGCTGTTACAGGTGATTGGGGATGAAAAATGAGACCATAAATGTGACACATGACAGTTAAATTTATGAACACTTTTTCACTTAGCAGAAAGGTCAGGGTTCTTATAATTTAGCAAAATCGCAACATCTGAGTGATCAAACAATTCATTCTTCTTCATCTTCTTCAAGGTTTAATAATGAAGTTGACGATTTGGGGACAGCCTCCAGACCAGAACTGCTTCGATGACTCTATTTACTGGGAGGTAAGAAATCCCATTCCTCATGAATATTATGTTACTGTCAAGCACCGCATGCGATAGATGCAGTACTCCCATATTTTTTTATTTATTAAATTAGTGGTTAGGGGATCATATTACAGTAAATGGATGTGGCTCACCCCATAATTATAAATCAAGATTGTATCTGCTGGTGAACACGACCCAGATGGTACAGCTTATAAACCAATAATTGTTTGACTGTCAAGCTACTGCTATCCTATATATATGTGTATATATATATATATATATATATATATATATATATATATATATATATATATATGTATATGTATATAAGATTTAATCTGCAGGTAAACTCCTGTAACTATTTGATGTCCACACCACAAAATTTAGGTCTCTCATTATGCTACTGACTGATAATATGGATTGCATGTTTTCAGGTTCCTTTGAAGGAGGAGGAGAAGGAGGAGAGCTTGGCTTATGCCGATCACTCATAGAACAAAGCAGACGTTTAAATACCTGCCCACCGACTGCTGAGCTAGAAATTAAGATGTAAAGGATGATCAGCTACACCATGTCAGCTTTTCTTCATTTCATCCTTACATTATAAAAAGCATGAAAGCATATTTTCTAATATTAGCATAGTATATGTATTTTTCCTCATACGTTCCTATATATTTCCATACACCTGGCACATGTATTTCTGCTGAGGCTCAGGTCAAAGAGAGGAGTTAAATCTGCTTTGATTTGCTGCTTCATGTCACCTCACTGGAGCCCAGTCCCCAGGGCAGGGATAGTCATAAAATATGTTGTAACTTCTGAACCTTCGCGTTGCTCATCTGCCACTGCTTACAACCATGTTCTATCGATCTGAGGGCAGCTGTACAATAACTTCAGTTCAACGAGCATTCAAAGCTGTGCATTTAGAACTGCAGGGCTAGATTAAACTGACTACACACAGTAGTGTTAATCAATGACATTGACCAGTGGGCATGTGCTCTTGTTTGTATTATATACTAATACTGTCATAATAAATGTGTTTTTTATACAATACCAGTGTTTACGTGTGTTTTTGTGGTCTAATCTTGCTGTAAGTTCAGATATTTGCGGAAATATTACAATCTTATGGCTTCCTTACATTTGACTTTAAATGACACAATTAAATCAAAAGTAAATGATGAATACTTGCGTTACATTAGCTGATATTTATGCTAATGACCAATGTTTTCTATACTGTATGTATTTTTAGCACGTACTATAGACTAAACTATACTATAGTAATACTACACATTTACTATAACTATAATCATCATATTATTACTCTAGGAATGCTCTATAGTGTTTTCAAAACACAACTGCAGAAACACTATATAATACTATTTTAAATAACAGCCTATAGGAATACTACAAAGATCTAGATACATAGTATTACTATTGAAATATTAGGGGGCTACTATAGCTAATAAAATAGCACTACAAAAAAAAACTATAGTAATACCATAGCTGATGTAAAATACTATTTAATACTAATGTTTTCCAACATTAGGTGATTTGTGATTAATAAATTCATGTTGTACATTTGTAGGGCTGGGCCGATGGATCGGCGATGGTTGACAGACATCAGGACGTTGAGCTGGCATCTGATTGTATACTTTGCACCTACCTCGGAATTCTCTTCTCTCCCTACTCTGACACGCTCACACACACCTATACTTCAGGTAAACATCCTGGCTTACCTCGCCCCTCTCTGTCTCTCTCCCCCCGTCTGCTCCATTTTCTCCATCAGCAGTATGTTTTATAAAGTCGCATAAAATAATGAGAACTCGTCGTTTTTCCGTATATATCCACCCGCGATCCCTTATCACGGCAGCAGGTGAGCCGCACGTCAGCTTATTAATGACGCAGCCTGTCCAACAACTGAAACCAACATCTGCACCCTGCTGCTTTACCTGGTCCGTGCATAAAATATCCACCGCGACTTGTAACGTAAGTTAATAGTCTACCAATTTTTTTTACCGAGTGAACTTTGTGCGAGAACACATGCACATAAGACGACTACTGCCTCCCGCGCGCGCACCCGATGACATCGTCCATCCTGATGTTTCATTGCAGACGTCGTCCGATGGAAATTTTGTAGACATCGCCCAATCCTATGCATTTGTGCACACAATTATTTTCTGCTCCTTTAAAAGTCATAGAAAAAAACAACAGAAATGTTTGCTTTCTTAAGCAAAAACGTAATTGTTCCAGTTTTTAATTAATTTAATTTCTATGTTTTGCTGTCAGTGACGCTAAAAGGGCAGATAATGCATTTAAATTGAAGTCATATGTACCATTATTAATGCAAACCAACTTATATCCTCAAGTCTTTTTCTCTATTATGTTGTTTTGATAAATTTTTTTATACATTAGTGATTGAAATAGGCTAACCCAGACGCAGGCCGCCACTGTCACCTGTCACTGTTCAACAAAACGATTTTGGTGAGAACCTTTCGCATGTTAACAGTAAAACAGGTGATGGAGTGTGTATGTCAGGGAGACTGGCTCTCATCCATCAACCTCAAGGACGCATACTTTTATGTGTCTGTCATCCCTGGACACAGGAAGTTTCTGCGGTTCTCATTCCAGCGCGCCCAGTACCAATACAATTGCCTGCCCTTCAGTTACTCCCTGGCCCCGCGCACTTTCTCCAAGTGTGTCAAGACGGCCCTGGAGCCGCTGCGAAGGCTGGGTATCAGGGTCCTGTTTTATCTGGACAACCTGCTGCTGCTGGCACGGTCCTGGGACAAGGCGGTGGTGCAGACGGCCCAGCTAGTCGCACACCTGTCTTGCCTGGGTTTCACGGTGAACTGGAAGAAGAATGCTCCTCTCCCCTTCCAGCAGCTCACCTATCTTGGCGTAGTACTGGACTCCTCTCTCTGGAGAGCGCAGCTGTCTCAGGAGAGGGTGGATGCTCTGATGGAGCTGCTCCGCCGTGTTGTCCCACGGGCAGTGGTGACGGCTCTGTCGGTCATGAGGCTTCTGGGCCTCATGTCGGCGGCTAACGTGGTGGTCCCCCTGGGCCTCCTGCACATGAGGAGGCTGCAGCGGTGATTCATCCGAACCAGGGGTTGGAACCGGTGGCCTGCCTGCTGCCGGGGTGCTTTCGTTCCTCCAGCTGCTCATGGACAGGGGTATGGCGTTCAGTATGGTGAAAACCTACGCTGCCGCCATCTCGTCCTGTCACGAGGGCTTCGGGACACACTGCTCCACAGTGGGATTTGGCGCTGGTCTTACGCACATTGAGCCAAGCCCCATTTTAGCCTTAGAGACAGTGGACCTGAGGTTTCTTTCGGCCAAGGTCACCTTACTTGTGGCTCTGACATCGGCCAAGAGGGTCAGCGATCTGGCTGCCCTCTCTGTGGCTCCGTTGTGTCTCAGGATTCAGTCTGCCGTTCTGCACCCCAAACCTGCATTCATGTAAGTGCATCACTAGCTCTTTTCGATTGCGGGTGATTACTCTCTCAGGCTTCTTTCCTCCCCCCCATGAGTCTGTGGATGAGGCTACATCCCACCTCCTCTGCCCAGTGCGTGCGCTGTCCTGTTATGTGGCACGCACGGCTGCCTGCCGCCGTTTGCAGTGCTTGTTTGTGCACTACAAGGAGCAGTCCAAGGGACTTCCCCTGTTAGCACAGCGCCTGTCTCCCTGGCTGTGCGAGGCTATTTAACAGGCCTATATGTCGGCCGGTGAGTCCCACCCGGTCGGCATCAGGGCACACTCCACAAGAGAATGATGATGGACGACCGACGACGACGATCTGCACGTCAGCCTCTTGGTCTTCCCCGTGCTCTTTCGTCCATTTCTACCTAATGGATGTCTCCCGTTTCTCACTGACTCACTGAGAGTGTTTTGGTTGAGTGATCTTCCCTTGTGTGTGCAGTGCGCCCTCTTCCACAGGACGGTGGGGGGGAGCAGCCGCTGCTTACGCTGGCCCTGCTTGTGCGCAGTTGATGCAGTCGCTGCCGTGACCCCGCCAACATCTGTACAACTGTGGGGTCCTCCATCCAGTTCCCCGTTTTGACACGCATGGGTCGGCCCTCTGCCTCCCATGTCGCGCCATTGGTGCTTGTGCGCATGCTGACGCCAATGTCGCAGACAGCGGGTGACTGGGTGGCTCATTTTCATGGCTCTGGGCAGGTGGGTTTTTGTGCTTCGTGGTACCGTATGGGCCAGTGAGGCGTTGACTCATCCTGCTTCGCCTCTAACCCAGTAGTGATAGCCTTAGAGGGCGAAGCCTATACAAAATAGAAAGGTAGTTACGTACTGCAACTCCAGATTCTATGAGTATAGGTGCAGCCCTCCAAGTTGTAGGCCTCACTGGACCTTGGTTCTCAGTGCTGAAGAAAAGGCATTTGGGAGCCGAAGGCTAGGTCTCATCGTTGTATATGTACAAGGTGCGTAGGAGAGGCCCACGCTGTGGGTGGGCGTAGACAACATTTTTCAGTGCCACGTAGGCGCGCGTAGGGTAAACCCAATAGTGACAGCCTTAGAGGGCTGCGCCTATACTCATAGAATCCGTTTCTGACATTAATTGTTCCAAAATATTAGAAAACCCACCTTGCCAAAAATGTTGTTAAAACCGCAGATACAACAAATTAATATTAGTAGTAATAGTAATTTTTACCTAGCTATTTAGCTATTAAGCCGCCATTTGAGTGACTCTTCAACCAGTCTGGTTGAACACCAACTTTTTTGGAAGAAGTCGTGGAGTGGCACTGGGTTCACTGAAAGATGTCCAAGTTGAAACACTGGAGCTTCCTGTCAGTAGCAGGTGAGTCAAGCTAAAAATGGCGAATGAACCAACAACGTTAACCTTATACAGTAAATAAAACAAATAAACACTAACTTAACTCACATGGTGTTGGCCAGAGACAGGGGTATGATGGCATACAGTGCGAACAAAGTTTCTATGTGCAGTTTGTATATAAATACTTATCTGACCAACACGTTTTTGTTCATGTCACTTCCCCAGTACAAGTTAACGCTAACAGCTGTTAGCTAACAATGACTGTACTAACGTTAGTTGTTTGCTGGGTCACACAACCGACTAGGTTACGATGTTGATGAACGAGCCAGTGCGATGCAAAATATTTCTGAGAGGCCTGACGTCACAATATGCCACACGAACGCTTCCTCTGCGTAGTTTGTTTACACCAGGTGGGCACAAAGCACCAAATCAAGAGGCTTTCACCTTAACTATTGTTAGCTTGTTGCACAGCAAGTACAAGCAGTAGTTTATGAATTTTATAATTTAAAACATACTAATAGCATGAATAGCAAACAGTTCAGAGAGGAAATGTATGAATACATGTGGTTACTAAATCTAACTAATACATTCTTTTTCATAGGTGTCTTTAGGTTGACTGCGTAAAAGGTAATTTCCCTCTGGGCCAGGGGGGCATTAGAGGAAGAACAATCGGATCCCTATTCCAGCCTGTGTTATCAGCGCCATGAGGACAGTTTTTCCATCTCTGGAATTCTATGGATTTAAGTAGGCTATGACTGTGATGATTTGTGTAGTGCAAGTATGACTTTTGTGTTTGCTATGATTTACTGTAAGCTAATATTCATAAAGCGGTTTAATGTGCCTTTAAATGCTGCTGAGGTTGCAACCTTATTTATTCCCCTGGTGAGTGATACAGTTCTACTGATTTTGTCTCTATCAAAAGTATCAATGTATAGTTAATAATAATATCAATAGACAAGCATGCACCTTAATACATAATTAACATAATTGAATGAATAGCAAACAGTTTAGAGAGGAAATGCACTGAGCAAATCTGCAAATTACTCGACCTCTGTCTAAACACCACCTACTTCCAGTACAACGGTGGATTCTACAGACAGAAGCATGGCTGTGCCATGGGCTCACCGGTATCCCCGATTGTGGCAAACATCTACATGGAAGAAGTGGAGAATAAAGCCCTCAACTCCTTCAGAGGAATAGCACCGAGCCACTGGTACAGATATGTGGACGACACCTGGGTCAAAATTAAAAGCCAGGAAGTGCAAGCCTTCACAGAACACATCAACTCTGTGGACAGTAACATCAAGTTCACACGAGAAGATGTTCACAACAACAGTTTGGCCTTCCTGGACTGCGCTGTACACATTGAAGAGGACAGGAGCCTGCAGATTGGAGTTTACAGAAAACCCACACACACAGACCAATACCTACTCTTCGATTCACACCACCCACTGGAGCACAAGCTAGGGGTCATGAGAACACTGCACCACAGAGCGGAAAACATACCAACAAGCGCCCAAGCCAGAGAGAAGGAACAGAACCACCTGAAGGGGGCACTTACAGCCTGTGGATACCCTAAATGGACCTTTGTGAAAACAGCCACAAGATCCAAGAAGACCAAAACTACAGGGGAGGAGGAAAAAAAAAAGAAAAAAGAAGGTCAAACGCAACAACATTGTGATTCCATACGTGTCTGGAGTATCAGAGAAACTCAGGAGGATTTTCAACAAGCACCACATCCCTGTGTTTTTTAAACCCAAGAACACACTAAGACAGATGCTAGTACACCCCAAAGACTGCACATCCAAACACAAGAAAAGCAATCTAGTGTATGCGGTCCAATGCAGTGAGGAATCCACAGACCTGTATATTGGGGAGACTAAACAACCACTACACAAACGCATGGCTCAACACAGAAGGGCCAACTCCTCAGGTCAAGACTCTGCAGTCTACTTACATCTGAAGGACAGAGGACACTCGTTTGAGGACCACCAGGTGCACATTTTAGACAGAGAAGATGGATGGTTTGAAAGAGGTGTCAAGGAAGCCATCTACACCCGGGTCGAGAAGCTGTCATTGAACAGGGGAGGGGGTCTACGCCACCACTTATCCCCCACTTACAATGCTGTCCTTTCATCACTTCCCAGGAAACTCAACAAACGTAACCTATTGGCCTCAGGTGAAGATACCAACGATGGTCGTTCAGTCTTGGCCACAGGTAGTCTTAACAACTGTAACGACAGTCGTCACAGCAACAAGGAACACTAACGAACCAGCGGTATCGATGACCCTGGCCACGACCCCACTGAGGTTAAATAGCTGAGTTTCCCTGCCAGTCAGTCAGAACTGAAGAAGTCCTTTGGATGAGGGATGAAACGTCTTCCAGTATCTTCAACCAAGTCCAGTTGCCCTTGATTTTAACCTTCGTTGGATAACTATGACCTGGATGACTGAGAATCTTCATAGACATAATTGAAAAGGGATATACTCAACAGATAGCAGTATATTATGGTTATGTGTCAAGTCTATTCTATTGTTTTTCGTATGCATGTATTACCTACCGCATTGTTTTTGTATTTGAATTACATCAGGTGGCTGTTGTAACATTTTAATTTCCTTTGGGATTAATAATAATCTACTCTATCTCAGTGTCTAGTTTCTATTCTGATCTATGATTAGTACTTTACTTTGTCTATTAGGTGCTGTACTATTACTATTTTGTGTGAAACCAGCAGTGAGGCTCTACTATTTTTCTTATCAACTGATGTTATCTAAAATATATGTTTAGTAAAAGGCAAAAGCTAGACCAGACTGAAATTCTGAAAATATCATATGCATAAATATATTGTTTGGTGTACTGCTGCTACTAGTTCATATTGTTGTTGTTGTATTAGTGTTGTGGAAGTGTTGGTAACGAATAAAACCGGTGCAGTTGTGTCTTTTTTGTTGTGAACCAATTCTAGGTGTTTTGTTTTGTTTTGTAAAAAAACAAAAAACAAATCAGTCCACCAGTGGTTTCCTGCATGGATAGTATGATGGTAAAGAAGTTGGGTTGAAAAAGATAATGTTCTAAAAGTCAGTTATTGTCCCTTACATTGGTTTGTGATTAGTGATAAACCGATTACGCCTGCACTCACCAGGCCAATTAAAAAAAATAGTTAAAAAGTTTTTGGTGAGTTTTGGAAAGGTGGTGAAAGAAGTTCTGACACCTACATTTCCTCAGTCATGTTTCTCCCATCTTAAATGCAAATCTAATGTAAAATCATTAGGGTTAAATATATATTATTATACTATACTGTCAGAATAATGCAATTGAATGACTGACAAACTGTACCCCAACTGTTAAACGCCAGTCGCCTTCTGAAATCTACAGCATAACCCAATATATTTTTGTATATCATTAATTAATAAAAATTCCATCTAAAACAACATGTGTTGCTTCACTGGCTAAAATAACAACGTATATTAGACTGCACTGTTCATGGAATAATGGAATTATACAAGACCTTTCTTTGTTTTGATATCTGCATTACATATCAATGACCCATCGGATGCCCTGTAAACTAAATATCTGCATTGGAAAAAAGTACAGTGGCCCTGAAATGCAAACCACAACAGTAAATCGCCACGACACAACAGCAATAATGTCATAATGAGCATAATATTACCACATTAATTGGTTAGCCTGGTGAAACATAACAAAGTCTTCTCCAAAACCTTTGGAATTGGGAAAGCTGTTGGTTTCCTGTGAAAAACCTGGAGTCACCCATCTGAGGGCTCTTTCTTCAGTGCCGCCAGCCAGCACAGCAGTACTGTTCTCCGTTTCAGCAGCAGTTTATAAAAACACTGTTTTGTCCTTTTGCTTTAACCTTTGTAAAATTAATAACCGTGGCCTCCATTTTGTCTTCCTCCCTCAGTCTCCATCATTCACTGACTCAGTCTTCCACTATTCCAACCTTTCACTTTCTGGAGTTGTATCTGTTGAGCTCAGGCAGCCAACCCTGTGATGGCACACTGATAACCAGCGCTCTTGTCACAAAAGATAACAGGGCTTCATTGTCTTTACATTTGTCATGTTACTTATAATAATTTTTTAGTGCAAATCCATTTAGTAAATCGTAACTTGGTTGACTCTTCATTTCCACTTGACAGATCAGGATTCTTCAACTGACAACACAAATTTCACCAGTTTTCTTGTTAAATCATATCAACACTTGATAGGTGGTTTGAAACAGGCACAACATTGGCCACAAATTAACCTGAAATGAGTCAGAATGCCATTTCAAAAGGAAGATATCCACAGAATTGCAAAGTGATTGATTCAATTAGAGTATTAATGTCCAAAGAACACCACTGTGAACAGCAATGTCGTAGCAAATGGCTGATTTCTAATTGAAGGCAATATATCATAAAAGTGTTTCATCTGATTCAATTTCATGTCCACATTTAGCAGAGGCTAAATTGGGACTCTCACAACAACACATCAGGGCCTGTCAACGTATCACCAGCAGAACTGACCTCCCTTCTCATGTCTCCAGTGTTTCAGGATGTCCACGTTATGATCTTCATCGGCTTCGGGTTCCTGATGACCTTCCTGAAGAGATACGGGTTTAGCAGCGTGGGCTTCAACTTACTCCTGGCTGCCTTCGGCCTGCAGTGGGGCCTCCTCATGCAGGGCATCTGGCACATGGATAATGGCAAGATCAAAGTCAACATCTTCAAGTACAAATGTCTTTTCTGAATGTTTTGGTTCTCAGTAACCCTCAGATTAGATTTGCAGTTAAGTATGCATCACAAACTTAGTAGCTGATCAATGAACCAATGAACTGTCATGTTGACTGCTGAGTAGCTCTGACGGATCCCTTTAGGTTTGGTAGATGATGGTTATGCTGGTCTAGGGATTTCCGTGTTCCACCTTTTCCACTCATTGTCCTATAATTTGTATTTTCCTAAAGACTTGTTTTCTTTCCTGTCCTTCAGAATGATCAACGCAGACTTCAGCACAGCTACGGTCCTGATCTCCTTTGGAGCTGTTCTGGGTAAAACCAGCCCTGTTCAGCTCCTCATCATGACCGTACTGGAGATCACCATCTTCTCCATCAATGAACACATTGTGGCCAAACTGCTCGGAGTAAGTACACAATGACACATGCATGTGTTGATGAGCTACGTGAGCAAAACACGGCATTAATTCCTGCATCATGACCAGGACCTTCACTGTGTCAACTGAATTTTATTAAACATAGATTGGCATGACTCCACTGTTATGAACCTGTATGACCTTTTCTTTCACAGGCTAATGATGTTGGAGCATCCATGATCATCCATGCTTTTGGAGCCTACTTTGGCCTGGCAGTGGCTCGAGTGCTTTACCGACAAGGTTTAAGAAACGGACATGAGAATGACGGATCTGTTTATCACTCTGATCTGTTTGCTATGATTGGTAAGAGCCAGTTACACTTTAAACTAATGTGATTTATTAGTGATCTGCTTGTAGCAGTAGCGTTTCATTTGGGTGTAATTTAGTGTTGTGTCGTTCAAAGAACGTTTCGTTCATAAGACCTAATCGTGTATATGACTCGGGAGGAACGGGTTGTCTCAGTGAGTGATTCATAAATTTTCACGCATGCGTGAAGGATCTTGGACTCTTACGTTCACTCGTCACACGGCACCTGCATGGGCTCCGTCAGCACAGGAAACTCTCAACTGTGGGTCTGTTTGAGTCGTTCATTTGTCACGTGACAGCTCGGCTACAGGGCTGTGGTAAGCAGGCAGAACAGGAAACAAAACTGATTAGTTCAGGACTCTCAACTGTGGGTCTCTAGGTCTGAATCGTTCATTTGTCACGTGACAGCACCTACTGTGGAGCAGGAATGAAAGACTCGTTCACCGCTCACATGGGTCCTCCTCAGTCTTTCGTTCACTCGGCAGGCTGAGTTACTGCCAGCGCCGGAGAATGAGAGGCAGGTCGGCTGTCAGGTAACAGTCACTGGACTGACATTATATAGCTATTTTGTTAATTATGTGACATTTTATAAAGCATAACATTATTACAGCGCAGTGATGTTGCGCTAAGTTATAGTTTTAACACAGCCGCACCGTAACTTTAGTCCTGCTAGTGTTTAACATTACAGCTAACAGCTGATGAGAGTTGTTCTGGGTCTGCTCCACTTCAGAGCCCTGACAGGGTTCTACCTGGAGCCGAATTACATCAGAGGTCGTCTCCTCTCCAAAACAAACAGACCCGGTCATTAAAACATTAAAACACAGCCACGTAGCAACGTTAGCGTTGGTGGCTTGATCCAGATTATTATTAAATTGGTTGAATTTTAATAAGAGTGTGTTTATTCATATAGTGTATCAAGCTTATTACTTCAATATAGTTACTGCAAATCTGACATTAATATTTTACTCATGGAAAGGGACGTTAGGCTACTGTATGAATGAGCACGTCAGAAATAATGATAGTAATTATATACATAAGCCTTTATATGACTGGTCAGGTTGTTTAATCAGGAAAGATTGTGAAAATGGAAGGATTTAGCCGGAGTAGTGGTGATTACATATTGACCAAATATTTCTGTGGTTTTTACATGGTTTGAATTTGGTTGTGGGCCCAGGGGGGTTTATATAATGATGATATACAGTAATCAAGAGGTGAATTTGTGCATTATACTTTGTCAAAATTATGCAAGCCAGGCAGCCTTCCATGTTTGAGAACAGCGCTGTTTTTTAATCGCCCACTAGAGGGCTGCAGCACCACAATAACCAGCCTAGTTCAAATGAACGAAATGGACAAAATGACTCAAAAAAAGGTTAGTTCATTTTAATGAACGAGATTTGAATGAACGAGTCTGTCAAAAGAGTCGAACTTGCCATCACTAGTGTAATTTTCCCTGACTGGTTCACCACTGGCCTCCTGCACATGTATGACTTGTGCCACCTAGTGGACACAAATAACCATGCACCATGTTAAGTGACTAAGCAAAATTGACCTGGACTGTGCATATGTTCTGTTCAGCGAAACACAATCTGAATACTTCAGTCTATAATTATCCAACTTGCAGTGTGATGTGATATGAATGAGATTTTCAACATTAACTGATACAAATGTTACTTTATCACTTCTATAGGAACCGTCTTCCTGTGGATGTTCTGGCCCAGTTTTAACTCGGCCATCGCTGACCCGGGCTTCACTCAGCTCACAGCAGTGATCAATACCTACTTCTCCCTGGTTGCCTGTGTGCTCTCTGCCTACGCCATCTCCAGCCTCGTGGAGCACAAAGGAAAACTGGATATGGTCAGATAACTTTCCTTCAATATCCACAATTACACTATTTTAAGATTTTATCCAACTAATTCAGTTATAAACTTGTTTTTATACCTTTATATACTACAGGTGCACATTCAGAATGCCACATTGGCTGGTGGGGTTGCCGTGGGAACATGTGCTGACATGAACATCGGGGCATTTGGGACAATGCTGATTGGATTAGTGGCTGGCATCATCTCTTCCCAGGGCTTCAAGTACCTAAGTGTGAGTTGAAACTAAGGAAAGGAAAGTAATATAAAATTTGTCACCCTTTAAAAAGACACTCCTTTGCAACAACAGGCCTTTTTTTCTTGCCTCTGTAGCCCATCCTGGCATCCTACCTAGGTATCCAAGATACCTGTGGTGTCCACAATCTGTACGGCATGCCTGGCATCCTGGGTGGGTTGGCTGGTATTGTTGCAGTTGCTCTAGGGAAAAAAAGAGGGGTATGGGCCATTTTTCTCACCACAAAATGTCTCTGTCTGTCAGTAATTTGCAAAAGTGTGGAAAAAGTGCTATAAAGTATGCTTTCAAAAATATACGTTTATATGTATCATTTAACAAAATACAAAGTGAGTGAACAGAAGAAAAATCTAAATCAAGTTAATTTTTGGTGTGACCACCCTTTGGCTTTTAAACAACATCAATGCTTCGAGGTATACACAAAGTTTTTGAAGAAGCCCAGCAGCTAGGTTGGCCCAGACATCTTGAAGAACTATGCACAGTTCTTCTGTGGATTTAGGCAGCCTCAGTTTCTTCTGTAATTCCAGACAAACTCGATGGTGAGATCAGGGCTCTGTGGGGGCCATACCATCACTTCCAGGACTTACTGTTCTTCTTTACGCTTGAAGATAGTTCTTAATGACTTTCACTGTTTGGTTAGTGGTCAATGTCATGCTGCAGAATACATTTTGGGCCAATCAGATGCCTCCTTGATGGTATTGCATGATGAATAAGTATCTGCCTGTACTTCTCAGCACCGTGGTGACTAATTATGACCAAATCCCCAACTCCTTTTGCAGAAATGCAGCCCCAAATTTGCAAGGAACCTCCACCATGCTTCACTGTCGCCTGCATTATTCTGCTACAGCCAAATATTTCAAATTTTGACTCCTCAGTCCAGAGCACCATCTGCCATTTCTCTGCACCCCAGTTTCTGAGTTTCTGTCATTCATAGTTGAGTCGCTTGGCCTTGTTTCCATGTCGGAGGTAGGCCTTTTTTGCCGCAAGTCTTCCATGAAGGCCACTTCTGACCAGACGTCTCCGGACAGTAGATGGGTGTACCAGGGTCCCACTGTTTTCTGCAGCTCTGAGCTGATGGCACTGCTAGACCTCTACTAATTGCGAAGGGAAGTAAGCATAATGTGTCTTTCATCTGCTGCAGTAAGTTTCTTTGGCCAACCACTGCATCTATGGTCCTCAACGTTGCCCATTTCTTTGTGCTTCATTAAAAGACATTGGACAGCACATCTGGAAACCCCTGTCTGTCTCGAAATTTCTGCCTTGCTGATGCTGTATAACTACCTTGTGTGTTGTTGCTGTGCTCAGTCTTGCCATGGTGTACGACTTTTGACAGTAAACTGTCACCTTGTTAGCTGAGTGTGGCTTTCTCTGTGTTGTATTCCTCCTACACAGCTTTTTCTGTTTCAGTTAATGATTGTTTTTCAGCCTACATATTGAATAGTGATCATTAGCACCTGTTTGGTATAATTTTTTAATCGTACACCTGACGATATGCCTACAAAATCCCTGACTTTGTGCAAATGTACCTAGAAGAACTGATGCTTGTTGATGTATCGAAGGCCAACGGTGGTTACACCAAATATTGATTTAGATTTTTCTTCTGTTTACTCACTGTATTGTAGCTGTCAAGCAACTGTATGCTTGAGTTACATGTCAGCTCTTACATTCCTGTCTTCCCTCCCCCTCCTCTTCAGAGGTGATGCTGCCATGCAAGCTGCTGCCTTGGGTTCTTCCCTTGCGTTCGCTTTGGTTGGAGGTGCTGTTACAGGTGGGTGGAGATGAAAAATGAGACCATAAATATGACACATGACAGTTTAATTCCTGGGCACAGGGTCTATCTCTCAACAGAAAGGCTAGTGTTCTTATGATTTAACAAAAGGGCAACATCTGAGTGAATAAACAATTCATTTCCTTCTTCAAGGTTTAATAATGAAGTTGCCGATCTGGGGACAGCCTCCAGACAAGAACTGCTTCAATGACTCTATTTACTGGGAGGTAAGAAATCCCATTCCTCATGAATATTATCACACGTTTCTGACTGTCACGCATTGCATGTGATTGATGCAGTAGCCCAATATCTTTTAAGTTATTAAATTAGTGGTTTTGGAGTCATGTTAGATGGTTGTGGTTCAACGCAAATAATTATAAATCAAGATTTTGTCAGCCGGTAAACTCCACTCAGATGGTACAGCATACAAACCCACAATTGTTTGATGTCCACATCACATACACCCACGTCTTATTTAGGTATCTCATTATGCTACACACAGATAATTTGGACTGCATGTTTTCCAGGTTCCTGGTGAGGAGAATGAGAGCTTGGCTCACAGCGATCACTCAAAGAACAAAGCAGAGGCTTAAATATCTGCCCACTGACCTAGAAATTAAGTAACAGATAATTTATCTGTTACACCATGTCAGTACATGTAGATACTGTAGAAATGGGTCACATCATAGCTTCACTGCTGAAACACACCTACTTCCATAAGCTTTTTCTTCATTTCATCTGTGTATTATAAAAAGCATATTAAAATATTAATATAGTATATGTTGATCTGCTGCTTCATGTCACCTCACTGGAGCCCAGTACTTCTGCAAGGAGTCAGTCAGACTGTGTGAAACCAGCAGTGAGGCTCTGACATGAGCAGGGATAGTCGCAGGAAATGTTTTAACTTCTGAACCTTGTGTTGCTCATCTTCCACTGCCTACGGCCATTTTTTTTTTTTTACCTCGGGGCAGCTGTACAATTTCTTTAATGCAATGAGCATTCAGAGCTGTGCATTTAGCATTAGATTGGCTCTCACTATAGGCAACCAAAGTTCATTTCTTTGTCTGTTTTCTATTTACATCTAATGTATTCTTACATGTACATACAGTTTAGCTTTTAGATGGATTGACATGGTCAGTTTAATAAGGTCCTGCAAGGTTAAAAAACTGGTACTGCACTTTTTTGGACTTGAATATTCAAAAGAATTCATTCAACAGAAAAACCATAGGACTGCAGGGCTAGATTAAACTGACTACACACACAGTAGTGTTAATCAATGATGTCCAGAACACTGAAACACATCAAGATTTTTTATTTTTATACAGTGGGAATGTGCTCTAATTTGCATAATATACTAATATTGTCATAATAAATATGTTTATCAGTATTTACATATTGTTGTTTTTTGTGTTAGTAATCTTGTAGTTCAGATATTTGCAAAAATATTACAATTTTATGGCTTCCTTACACTTGACTTTAACTTGGCACAATTAAGAAGTCAGAAGTAAATGTCTAGGATCTAACTAGAGGGATATGTTTGGGGTAATTTGGACAGGCATCACCATTACATTATTTACTAGAAAGCGATAGGCCTAACATCTTCAAATCTCTCAAATATCTTCAAACTGTCAAATGTCCCACTTGTTATAGTGGTCAAGTGGCTAAAGCTGTCAAACCTTGACTAGATTGTCCCAGAGAGGCTAAAGATTCTTTAACACAGTTTTCCGATTTGTGAAAACTTGATCTTATTTTCTTTATTTGTGAAAATGAAAGAGTGGCCATTATAAACCCACCTCCAATTGATCATAAAGTTAAATCATCTATCTAAAACAGATTTAACAAATCATGAACATCATTTTATGAAGGTAGGATTTATCGCAAAGCTGTATTTGACTGCTTTAATTTTAGCAACTTAGGTTTAATGTTAACGTCACCTATCTCCTTATACTCTAGAAAGTGAGGGAACATAGTATTCCCAAGTGGTTTGTGGTTACTTTCAATTCACGGCAGAAATTAAATGTCTGAATATCTTTATACTTTAAACCTACCTGCAGTTTTCACATATGTCGTTTTGCCCTTCGACCAGTAGGGGCGCTGTGTTCATTGACGGCCGTTTCCTCTCCACTGTTTTGAACATGGAAGTAGGTAGCAGCGGTGCATCATGGGATACAAAATGTCTCCGAAGAGTTTTGGCTAATGCCAATTTACGAGAGATAACTGAGAATAAATATATATTATACCCTTCTTTTTCCAGAGGTTGTAGTGTCATCATATATATGATATATTAACTGTATTCTGCTGTCGTCATGGTGAGTACAGAACGTATTATTATCACTAGCGTTTAGTTTATTTGAAAGCTTAAAGCGCATTTTAGCTTTATATTAGCTTGGTCAACGTATCTCCGCCGGTAACGTTAAACACCAGGTAAAGGACAATTAGAGTATGCATCAATATTTCTCTTTAATCAGAAGGCTCTTAACAAAGCCACGGTTTGTGCCTGTTTTAAATGGTTGGGAGGAACTTTGTTGTGTTTAACTTCATCAGCAAACGCCTTCTTCCCGGAGTGCAGATCAGAATTCAATGAAAAAATGTCTCCTGTCTCATCCAGGACGCAGTCACACATTAAAAACATTTTGCATAATATGTGTCTTTGTTTCTAGTCAACGAGAACGGAGTCCAGGGTGTCCAGCTCCAGCTCCAGAACAGATGAGAGGAGGAGATCCAGGAGCAGAGGCAAGACTGCTTTTAAAGAGAGCACACGAAACTCACTGTCACGTCAAACGTTTGACTAGTGTCTTTTAGCCACATCCACTGTGTTTCTACTCTATAACCTGGTTTCAAAGCGAAACCCAAAGGGGGGATAGATGTTACTTTTGTTATAGCTAATGGCACCTTAAAGAACTCCCTTTCTTTGCTCTATGAGGTCACATTGGGTAGTTCATCCCCAAAGTCTTCAGCTATTTTGACTGTCAGTCAGTTGGGTTTAGAGTAGAGTTTGTGAGTAGTTGAGTTGTTGCTTACCAAAATAACAGTTAAGTACATTTAGTTACAGTGTTTCTGATGTCTGGCAATGATTAATAAGAAGTGTCACTGTATGTGCAATTACAAATGAAGGTTTATCTTTGTCTCCTGCTTATTCAGGACGAGAAAAAAAGAAGCGGAAACGCAGCCGTAGTAGATCTTCCTCGTCTTCCTCTTCCAGTTCGTCGTCCTCATCTTCGTCGTCCTCAACGTCGTCCTCTTCGTCATCCTCTTCATCAGGTTCATCACACTCATCCAGCCACAGTCGGAGTAGCTCTAGCAGTAGTGGTAAGTGTGTCCTTTAAGTTTGAATATTATAATCTTTTACTGATTTTCTTCAGTGCTGAATTGTATTAATGTCAGATGCTTTTTATGTATTTTTTCCACATGTGTGTTTTTCTCATAACAGTACCAATATCCATAAATTGATTAAATGTGGTGTTTTTGTTGTTTTTAGACTCCCGCAGTAAATCCAGGAAGCAGTCTAAGAAAAGGAAAAAGGAGAAACAACACAAAAAAGTAATTTTGTGCATTTTGTCCCATGTATTTATTATTTGAAGAAACTGAAATAATTTACAAGCCACTCACTGAACATTAAGTTCAACTTTATATTGTATTTTGTATCCTTGAGCAGAAAGGGAAGAAAGAGAAGCGACATAAACGTAAAAAAGACAAGAAAGCAAAAGGAGGAGAAGAAAATTCGGGACCTGTACAGATCTCCAAGGTAAATGGCTATTAAAGTCCTATTGGACATAAAATCCTTTTCTCACCTGTGTGACCAAAAACCTCTTCCTGTTAACTGTCACCATTTTCTAATTTACTTCTATTCATTGAGGAAGCCCTTCCCGTCACATGAAACATGCAGGTCTACTATGATAACAAGCAACAGCATAAACATCACTGGCTAAATACACTTAACAAAATTATAAACAACACTTTTGTTTTTACCCCCATTCATCATGAGCTGAACTCAAAGATCTAAGACTTTCTCTATGTACACAGAAGGCCTGTTTCTCTCAAATCTTGTTCACAAATCTGTCAAAATCTGTGTTAGAGAGCACTTCTCCTTTGCCAAGATAATCCATCCACCTCACAGGTGTGGCATATCAAGATGCAGATCAGACAGCGTGGGTATTGCACAGGTGTGCCTTAGGTTGGCCACAATAAAAGGCCACTCAAAAATGTGCAGTTTCTCTGTATTGGTGGGATCTGGAAACCAGTCAGTAGCTGGTGTGACCACCATTTGCCTCACGCAGTGCAACACATCTTCGCATAGAGTTGATCAGGTTGTTGATTGTGGCCTGTTGAATGTTTGTCCACTCCTCTTCAATGGCTGTGCGAAGTTGCTGGATATTGGCGATCCAGGGCATCCCAAACATGCTCAATGGGTGACATGTCCGGTGAGTATGCTAGCCATGCAAGAACTGGGATGGTTTCAGCTTCCAGGAATTGTGTACAACATGGGGCCGTGCATTATCATGCTGCAACATGAGGTGATGGTTGTGAATGAATGGCACAACAGTGGGCCTCAGGATCTCATCACGGTATCTCTGTGCATTCAAAATGCCATCAATAAAATGCACCTGTGTTCGTTGTTCATAACATGCCTGACCATACCATAACCCCACCGCTACCACGAGCCACTTGATCCATAACACTGACAATCAGCAAACCGCTCACCCACATGATGCCGTACACGCTGTCTGCCATCTGTCCTGTACAGTGAAAACCGGGATTCATCCATGAAGAGAACACCTCTCCAAAGTGCCAGATGCCATCAAATGTGAGCATTTGCCCACTCAAGGCGGTTACGACGACGAACTGCAGTCTGGTCGAGACCCTGATGAAGACGACGAGCATGCAGATGAGCTTCCCTGAGATGGTTCCTGACAGTTTGTGCAGAAATTCTTTGGTTATGCAAACCGATTGTTGCAGCAGCTGTCCGGCTGGCCGGTCTCAGATGATCTTGGAGGTGAAGATGCTGGATGTGGAGGGTCCTGGCCTGGTGTGCGGTTATGAGGCCAGTTGGATATACTGGCAAATTCTCTGAAACACCTTTGGAGACGGGTTATGGTAGAAAAATTAACATTCAATTCATGGGCAGCACGAGCTCTGATGGACATTCCTGCAGTCAGCATCCCAATTGGACGCTCCCTCAAAACTTAGATCTGTGGCAATGTGCCTTTTATTGTGGCCCGCCCAAGGCACACCTGAGCAATTCCCATGCTGTCTTGATCAGCATCTTGTTATGCCACACCTGTGAGGTGGAAACAGATTTTGACAGATTTGTGAACAATATTTCAGAGAAATAGGCCATTTGTGTACATAGGGAAAGTCTTAGATCTTTGAGTTCAGTTCATGATGAATGGGGGCAAAAACAAAAGTGTTGCGTTTATAATTTTGTTCGGTGTATATCGCTCTTCGTGCTTTAGAGTTAACTCTTCTTTACAGTGGAAATGAACGAGTGGGCAAATGCTCCTCAAAGCTTCTGTCTTCTTAAATAATAATTTAATAAATTATAATTTGAGAAATTTGGGGTGAGTTTTTGCCTGCCCAAATGTGCTAATAATTGCAAGTGCATATTACAGTTAATAGTTTGTTGTGTGTCAAACTAAAATAAAAACATTTACATACTAGTAATTCTTTTGTTTCACTTTTATCTATACAGTTCCTTGGAAGTTACACACAACGCCTAATTATGTGGATTTATTTTCAGTCAACTTAAGTTCCTAGTATCCTAGACCCCTTAAATGTACATTTGTTTTTCTTTCAGTATTTGAAGGACAGGAAAAAAGGCAAGTACAGCATGATTTCAGGGAAGAAGATAAAGATGAAAGTAAAGAAGTCAAAGAAAGACAAACAGGTAATGTTACATTTTGCTGTCAAATTAGCAACCAATTTTTTCTGTAGAGTTTGTGAATGCATTTGTATTTGCCTTGGCTCGCATGTGCCTTTTTTATTTTTCTTATAGCGGGATAAAAATCGAGCAGAACTTCTCGAGTTCTTGAACTCTACCCTGTGATGCCACTGTGGACGCCAGTAGTGGTGCTCGGGCTCGGACACGTCACCAGAACTCAGGAAACAACAACTCACCTTTCCAGGAGAACAAAAATGAAGGGTTTTGATGATGAATACGACTTGCATCGATACACAGCGGGCAGCACCTAGCCGGATGGAGTGAAAAAGCTGTATCTCTTGCAGTGATGTGAGATGCGTTCAGACCACTAGCTACATTTTCACTGTGTTACTGCCCATGTGGCCAGTTCTTCAGCTCAGACTGATAGCTTTTGTGATATGAGATGTGTTTATGTTGAGCAGTGTCTTCCAAGATTTTGTCTGTGGCCAACTGAATCATATGAAGGTGAAATTGTAATCGGACAGCATCAATCAGAGCATTGAGTGTGGGTGAACTGCCAGCGATCAGCTTCTCATCTTTGCTTGTGGTTTGAACGTATGGTCACCACTTACAAAGAGTCCTCGACCTATTGAGCATTTTACTCCTATAACATTGTCGGACCACAATGGACAGTTTAAAAAATCTAAATCGATGCAGCACAACCAGAGATATCGTCTTTTTTTTTATTCGTTGCGTTCTTCTTCCTTGTCAAAACCAGGCGCCTACATTGCCAATAATGCAACTCGACTGCCGACACTTCGGCCAGAGATTCGGGTGTGCTATGCTAGCAGCAGCTAATGTAGCCTTGAGCCGCTAGCCTCAAGCAGAGACGAGGAGTGGGCTACAGAGGTCTGGTAAGCTCACGTCTTTCTAACTCCACACCCCCAGAGTTTGAACATTTTATTTCTTGTTCAAACTTGTAGTCTTCAACAAAACTGACACTGAGTCAAGTGACATTAGCTTCCTCTGGAGCCACAAAGAGCTGTATACAGCTTTCACATATGCAGTAGGACTCCCCAACACCTATAAAGAGGTAAATCTTTTTTGAACCTGCTGGACTGGCATACAGTTATTTTTTTTGTAGATAAGTGACAGTTATGTTTCCACAGTAAATGTGGGCCGTGGGAACCCCAGTGTTATCAGTGTCTACTGATATCATAGTTTTTAATGTGTACATTTTGTTTAAAATTATATGAGAATCGACTCGTCGTATGATGATAACTTTTCTTATTTGTAACGTTCATTCCACAAAATTCTGTCATAAATTTTGTTTCAACATCAGTCATTTTATTAAAGTGAAATATTAAATAAAATCACTGTTAGGGCCCCCTGTATCAATCCAGTTGAAAGCTTTATATGGATGATGGTGTAAACCTGTTGTGTACTGTTGAATTTTGCTGTGACAAAAACGGCAATAAACTGCTGGAAAGATTTTACTATGAAATGTTTCCCTCAAAAAGGTATGGTAACAGGTAAGTGGCCATTTCCGTGCAACTTTGCTAATGAACAGAAGGAGAGCTTTCAGTTTGCCGACCTTGGATGATGAATTATTGTGAGTCCTTGTGTGCTGTTGGGACAAAACATAGAGCAGCTGTGACTCATCCTCTGAATGACGTTAATATGAGCATTGGCTAGTTTGTCTCAAGACTAAAAGAGTAACATTTATACATAAATCTCATGCAAAACATTGTGACATTAATGATCATTCACCTCTGCGGCCATTTTGTGTTGTGTGACGTAACAACACCAACGTATTTAATTTCTTCCTGCGACATTTAGGACTCAAGAACGTTTAAATTATATAAACATCCCTACCAGTTTATAGTAAATAGCCCTCAATGTTTATAATCCAAATGTCTACAAAATACAAGATGCATCACAGCAAAAGACGAAAATCTCACACAAAGTTGAAACTGTTTCAAGTCCAAAAGTGCTGTCAAGTTACAGAATATCTGACAAAGCATGACATTGCCCTTTCAGGTGTAAAGGTAAAGAAGTAAATTGATCAAATGCTGATTGGTCTCATACTGAAAAGAGCAGGAGGATTATGGGATTAATCCTGCCTTGCCTCATGTAAGCATACTGCAGCCAGAGATCAGCATCTGTCACAATGAAACCCCCCCAATCACTGTCCTGTATACGCCCAACATCACACGACTTTACTGCTGCTGGTTCCTTTGTATCTGAAGTCAGGCATGCTCCACACCCTCTGCGACCTCTCCATCCCTCTCTCCACATCCTCCGACACGGTTTTGAGGTCACTCAACCCCGCCCCGTCGGCCACAGTGGACGTCAAGCCCACCGTGCTTCCAAATGGGTTGATCTTGATCCGGGACCTGAAGTTCACGAGGGACATGTTCATGGCACGTTTGTTACTCCACTGACGGGCAAGCCGCTGAGCTTCCTGCTCCTCTTTGGCGTGATCCAGAGCCTCCAGGAGGACGGAGCGAAACAGGCCGGGCACCTCCTGCACCTCGGGCTCATTGGCCTGCAAAACCTCCCTAAACCTGTACATAACAAAACACTCTGATGAGACAGGATGCAATGACCATGTGGTTGCACAAGATTGTCAGCTTATTTTCTGCCATACTGGAAGAGCAGTTCCTCCACCGATATAACATTGCACTTCTATAACACTGCGGACTACAGTGGACACAGTAGTACTCTTGAATACCTGATAACAGACTTTAGACCTCCAGTGGTTTAACTTCTCACCTTTTCTATCCTGTAGAGCACACTGCACACTGTTGGATGTGGTTACAAGTGCAGCAAAGCACACTTTCGGCAACACTCAACCATACCCACCAGTGTGGTCACAGGTGAAATGTGGCTTTTCAGCTAATCTTTAAACCTGCTGTAACAGCTTTTTTTTCTTATTTTTTGCAGTAAACACAACACTGACATCACTCTTTAGGTATGCTGGTGGGGTTTTTGAAGCTTTATCACAGTTTCAAAAACTGCTTAGCTCACTACCAGAAATGAAGTGCAATGTGAACCAAAGTAAAGTAACAGGGGGCGGAACTGCAGAGTCGGGTGATATTATCCATGGGTTTCTCACTTTAAGTGAGCCATTTCACATTACACAGTCATGCCTTGTGATTTATTGTTTATGCTTACAAAAACTAAATATTACATATACTAACAACAGCATGTCTTGGCCTACTAGAAAGTAAGTTGAATGGGCGTGGGCACGTCGTCTAATGTTACCTGACACCCAAATCATGGCTGAAATGGCTCTAATAGTGTTTTGTGGCGGGATGCGGGCCGCTTTGTTTATTTCCAATTTACAGCCAACCAGGGCTGTAAATAAATACCAGATTTATTTTCAGTGCACATAAAGAACAGACAGCTAGCGGACAGTGAGGAGATATTAGCTGAATTTAATGAAAAGACGTACTGGATTAGAATCACTGACCACCCTACCTTTAAAACACTTAACCAGCTATAAAGGAGTAGTATAAAACTAAAATATAAATACAGAAAGAAAATAAAAATGTGACTAAAATATATGAAACAACATAAGTAATATAATGCTACAAACACAACCATGGCTGGAAAAAAAAAGCATGAAGACAACACATCACAACTGTGTATCATATCAATATACCTTTCTAGTTTCTATCAGAATACTTACCCCCCTGAAGAAAGAACCTCAAACTTCAAATCCAGAAACAAAATCTTTATTTGAACCAGGATTTTATTCTGGCCTTTGAGCAAGAAACATCTACTTAATGGCCAATGTTATAAAAGGCAACCTGTATCACAGTCATCATCCCCCCACCTGTGTAACCAGCACACTCCTGCTAACACCCCAATTATACCTCCTTCTAAGAAGAGGTGCAAACAATCCTTTAAATAGACATCTATTTGGAAACCTTCTTCCCTGTAAGCGCTTCCAGTTAACTGATGATTGGCCTGCTTTCCTAATTCAAAACACAAGACTGAAACCCGGTGTCATTCTCAAAGTGATGGATCATTTAACCTTTAGTAGAGGATTTACACTAGATAATGACGCCATCAAAGTTGTTGATTGAGCATCAAAGTTCATTCTTCACCTTGAAAATAGGAGTCTGAAAAAGCTCAACTCTGGAGCTTTCAACCTCATCTCGTCTGTTATAAGTAAATATCATCTGTTCATGAAGACCACGAGTAATTTATGAGTTTGAGTCAGATGTTCATCTATTCACTCACATTTTAAATCCATCGTGTCTTTAAAGGCCCACTCAGTCATTTTTCTCTCCATACCACTTAAAGCTTAACTACTAAATATTCATATATATAAATGAAGAGTTTATTTTATTGGAACTATAAGCCAGTTTTACACATGTAAACCAACATTTTACAACATCAAAAACATCAATAGCTTAGTTTGACAAAAACAAAAAAAACTTCACTTAAAGGTCCACTTACTAGATTTTTCTTGAGCTATAAACAGCATCTTACTTGTCTCCCTGAAAAGCTAGAGTTTCCTCACAATAGAGAGGCAGATCTTTCTCTTGTAACTATTTGATCTTTTTTTATTTTCTTAAAATAGTTGTCATATCCTGACTAGAAACATCCCAAACTGGCATGGGATGTGTACGGCCCAGGAGCGGAGGGCTCTCCGGGTGATTAAAACAGCTCAGAAGCTCATTGGTACCCATCTCCCGAGCATCAGTGATATCGGTGAGGTGAGGTGCCTGCGCAGAGCCAAAAGGATACCAAAGGACAGTACCCACCCCACCCACAGCCTGTTCACCGTGCTGCCTTCTGGGAAGAGATAGTTTCTGCTGCCACACCACCAGACTGCAAAGCAGCTTTTTCCCCCAAGCTATCAGATTCTTAAACTCTAATTCATCCTCAGCACTGCTACACTGATCATAGTTTATTTCTGTTTACCATTTGTCATAATTGATTCTTTATTAATTTATATTGTCTGCTATGTTGCACAAGGGAGTTACAAAACTCAATTTCACTCTATAACTTGTTATATTTTGACAATAAACCTACCTACCTAAAAGAAGAATATAATATATTAATCTGGAACAAGATAAAATATAGAAGAAAAAATACATAACACTCACCCTTAGCTAATCCATACTTAACAACTTAATAAATTCCAAACAATCCCTCTTCACTTTGTGGACGTTGATGGGATATATACATATATATACACACATATAATAAAAATAAAGAATGGAAGGACCAGGCTGGCATTGTGAAAACCCAGTCAATTCACAGCCAATAAGCTGACGACTGAGGACTCCTCCTCTGTGCAGCTAATTAAAATCACAAATACATGCTCCAGTTGGTCCCTGTTGTGTGTTTGTGTGGGACTTCCACTTAGCATTCAGTACCTCACTGCTCACTCAAGTTAACACCAGTCAAACTGCTTCGCAAAAACTGTTGCGCTCTAACAAGACACCTGAGACCTTGGCAGCTTTTTATGAACAGACGGTTAAACAAGCTCAGAACGTCTCTGCTGCAGATTAAAGGAGACACACAAGAATTACAGAGAAGTTGGCAAGCTGATCAGCTTCCAAGGCAAAAACCTCTCCCTGTCTCTGCCAAAGACGACTGGCCAGCAACGGGTCATGAAATCACGTGAATAGATTATGAGGTTTAAAAGACACCTTGTGCTTGAGTCAAGGAGTAATCAATTAAATTTTTGCTGGAGCTGATATTTAACAATAACCATTAAGTGGTTATTTTTGGCCATAGCTAGAGATTAGATGTACCTTTACAATATCTTGGCGAAAAGAACTACAGGGTCAAAAAACCTGTAACATCATACTTAACAGACAGACATGATAATGGTGTCAATCTTCACTGGCCAGGAAAGCAAGTACATGTTATTTCCCAACATGTTGACTCACTCTTTTACTCGCACTTTAATCACACAACAAACAGGGAACCCACTGGACCTACCTGTTTCTATTGTTAGTGGTGGTGAGCCTGAACATCACTGTGCAAATAGAGATCTCTCTGTTTATGAGACAATATGTTCATAGTTTAGGTTTGAACCAAACGTCAACACACCATTTTACATTAAACATTATAGTATAACTAAATCAGAGCTGAGAGGATTAGTCAAATAGTCAATAAGTCCATGCAAATTTGATAATAAATTAATCTTTTTAATCATTTTTCAGCAAAAAACAGCAAACCTTGTGTAATTCTATCCTCTCATTTGTGGGGATTTGCTGCTTTTCTTTGTCACAGTGAGCTTTGGGAAGTTGCAATGGGCATTGTTTTTTACTTGATTAATCAATTAATCAAAGAAATAATCCTTAGAAAAGTTTCTCACCCAGCGACTTTTGGACAGTAAAGCTGAGATGGACATTCAGAGGCAACCGTCTCACTAATTTGGAAATCTGAGCCTTCAGATTTCAGATGGAGCTTTTTGGAGATTGTCCACTAATACTGAATTAGTGAGTTTGAATATTCATGAAATGAGTTTTCCAGTTCTGAATCAGAAACTGGCTCGCAGTAAAATATCCATGTCTGTTATGATTGTGTCCTCTGAGTTGTTTCATGACTCACTGACAATCAGGACTGATCTCTAAATGTTATCATCACTACAGTCTATCTCTCTGCTGACTGTTACAAATGTACAGCTAAACAGTAAACCTTTCTAGAAATAATGTATTTAAGAGTTGATTCTCCCCTCAAGGGACATTTCAAAATCTGTTCTATGAGCTGTTGTGGCTTATTACTAATATGTACTTTATGCAGTGATTAAAGAAGAACTCTGATAATTTCCATAAGTAGATAAGTGCATCAATGTGTAAGCAGTAATTTACTGATATTTCTGGGTTTAACTACTTTATATACACTTACTATAGGTATTTAAGTGCAGTGGTTCTCAACCTAGGGGTCGGGCCCCTCCAAAGGGTCACAAGATAAATCTAGGGGTCGTGAGGTTATTGATGAAGTAGGAAAGAAGAAAAAGCAAAGTTCTGATATACCGATTTGTGTATATTTTGGGAACAAATTTGTGCTTCATACAGTTTAGAGAGGAAATCACAATTTAAAGACATCTGAAACTTGAAAGGGGTCCCAGCTAGACAATGCTTTTTTGTAAGGGGTCACCAGCCTCAAAAGTTTGGGAAACACTAGTTTAATGTTTAAAGATGCATTATATTTTATAGGCTTATCTGATGTTTTTAACTCACTGCATGACAATGTTAGCCAGTCGGTACATCACTTTGGTCAAGGATAAAATATCTCATCAGCTATTGAATGAATTTTCATGAAATCCGATACAGATGTTCATGGTCCCCAGAGAATGAATCCTAATAATTTATAATAATAAATTATAAGTAATAATAATAAGTGATCTTCTGACTTAATCTAGCGCTATCATCAGGTAAAATTAAAAAATTGTCCATTACTTAGGTTTACGACCAAATACCTGCAAAACTAACAACATTCCCATCAAAATTTCTTGCTGTACTTTCTCTTTATCGCTAATTAGCAAATGTTAGCATGCTAACACACTGAAATAAGTTGGTGGTATATATTATACATGCTGATCATTAGCATGTTAGCATTGTGAGCCATCTACTATAAGAATGCAAAATACATAATAATGATAATAAATCAATGTTGTGTGTTAGCATTTAGCACAAAGGTAGCTACTACTACTATTGAAATAGATTAGCGTCACAGAGCTGCTAATGTTAGCATGGTTGTTTCTTAATCTGTTTATGTAAATTGTGAAATCTTAAATTTAAAAGTAAACATTTAAATAAATTTAGTGAAGTAAAAATGAGGTATTTCCCAATGGTAAGTTGAATAATGAAGCGTACATTTTAAATACACAAATAAAGTGCTTTCAATTGTATTTAAGTAGCCTAACATTAAATGTACTTGGTAACTTTCCACCTATAACTTTATGCTTCTGTTCCTGTAATATTCGTCCAGTCACATGTTCAGTTGTCATGTCTCCTTACTTGAGTATGACCAGGCCGCAGCAGGGCGGCGGCACCTTGGAGCAGAGGTCCTCCAGGCCAAGCTTCTCACCGGTGCTGATGCTGTAGGAGGAGCGAGGCGTGCTGGCCAGCCAGCTGTAGTCCACCCCGGTCTTGAGGCGCCGGTACTCGCTCTCCCTCTCTCTCTGCTGCCTCTCCGCCTCCTTCAGCTGCCAGCTGAACTCCAGCATCAGGGTGTCAGTGACCACGTCGGCCGGGTCCCGTCGGGGGCTCCGGTAATATGGCTCATTCCAGTTGAACCAGGAGGCCATGGCACTGTCCTTCTTCACAGCCCCCCTGATGAGGGAAAGACAATCAGACGTAATCATCACACTGAAATGATTACAAGTGACCTCAAATTTAACAAGATCATTACAAAACAGTACTGCCAGGCTGTTGAAATGTTTGCTCAAAGTAATTGATTTCAAATTGGATTTTTGAAACATTCGGATTACATTTGTTGCTTTTATTAAAAGTAGCATAATGAGTTGACAATGAGACATTTTGGAAAGGTCACACATTCATTGAAATATGTGAATCTCCTTACTGGAAATGTGAGACCAGTAAATCAAAACAAACAAAGAGTTGCAGCAAACTGTTATTTGGATCATTTACTTGATTTTAGTTGAATAAGTGTTTTTCAAGGCTGTCTGAAGATTCAGCAGTTATGGAGGAGACCTTTTATGCTTTTGTGGCATTGGTACTGTCTTTCTATTACAACATGTAGGCCTACTGTTTGTGTTATTTGGCATCATTTAACACTGCATCCTCTGAAGTCTGTTCCACATATGGACCCTGTCTCCTCATACTCTGGCTCTTTGTTCTACAGGTGTCATATGTACTCCCACAGATGCCGTATTCAGTTCAATTCAATAGTCTTTTGTTAACATTTCTTTTTGTGATGAAAGTACAAAAACACATCAGAAGAGGCCACGGATGAGGGTGGTGTGAGTCATTAATTCAAAGTAAAAGGTTTTAGTTTCACAATCACCATGAGGTCCTTGTGTCCTGCATGACTACATGGAGACATGACCAGTGATTACAAGACTAAAATGACTCAGTCATGCTAGTGATTGATTCAATAGAAAATGAATCAGCAACAATTTCGATATTCAAATAATTGTTGAAGTATTTTTTCAAGTGTAAATGCTAAATATTCTCTAGTTCCATGCTCTTAAATGTGAAGAAGATTTGCTTTTCTTTGCCTTTTGTGAGAGTATAACTGAATTAGAGCTGAAGGGATAAGTTGATTAATCAATTAGTCGATGCAAATTTGATAATTGATTCATCGTTTAAAAAAAAAATTTAAGCAAAAAACAATGAAAAAACAGTTTTTTTTGTCATTCATCATTGTAAACTGAATACCTTTGGATTTAGGACTGTTGGTCAAACAAGGCTGTACCTGCTTTATACAACTCTGCTGCACTGGGGCTGTGGGTCAGATTATCAATGTGTGCAGAGTAAAAGCATTCACAATAAAGCAACAGGGTGGGATTAGTCACAGCCCTGCTCTTACCTCTGAAACAACCAACAATTTCCCTCTGAGGTGACTAACCCTTCAAAATGGAGTCAAACACATTCAGCCAAGACAGTCTTTCAAATAGTTACAATGCCTCTGTACGTTAGACCAGCAGCTGTTTATGTATTATGTATTAAGATGTTTTAATGCTTCTATTACAGAATAAACAGACTGAATGAAAAGCAACAGCAGGGTTGCGACTAATGATTACTGTCATTAGTGATTATTTTCTTGATTCATCTTTAAATCTGTATAACATCAGAAAACAAGCCCAAGGAGATGTCGTCAAGTGTCTTGTTCTTTCTGAACAACAGTCCACAAAATTCTGTTAACTATAGAGCAAGTAAAGAAAAGTAGCAAGTTCTTACATTTGAGAACCTGAAACGATCAGATGTTGGGTATTTTTACTTGAAAAATGATTTAAATGAGTATGAAATAGTTTGATGATTAATTTTCTGTCGACAAATTAGTGCAGTTCTAAATGGTATTACAGGTGACCCACTTTTCTCTCTCATGTTTACCAGCTTTTGGGACATCTAAGATTGACTTGAATAAAAGAAAACTGACTGCAGGAGTAAAGTACTTTTTCTTTCTTTCTTACTTCTCCCTGTTGTTCAGTTTTATGACCAACATTTTTCTTACGTTGAAACATCACAAATCATTTAGTCCAATTTGATGCTGTTGACTCCAAAGCACAATTGAGAATGAACAGTTTAAAAAAAGAAAAAGGAAAGCCCTTTTCCTACCTCCTCTTCTTCTTTTTTAAGTTTTTCTTGGACTCCGCAAGAAACAGAATCACTGAGAAGCAGAATCAGAAAAGTCCTGAGAAATCAGATGGATGTTGCAGAGACAAGACTGGCTGAATAAAAAAGCAGAGAGAGAAGAGAAATGGATTCTCTTTCTCTCTGCTCTCCCATCCTCTCACAGTCCCTGTGTATTATCTCCACCTCTCTCTCGTTTCTCCTCCTCCTCCTCCTCCTCCTCCTCCTCCCAGGAGCCTCTCTGGCCTGCATTTACTTTTTGCAGGAGGCTGGGGGCACCATCTCCAATGGGAGCCATTGGATCACGGCACCCTAATGAAGTGCTTGTGTAGCTTTTTACGATTCACCGTTACCATAGTGATGCTCCTAAGCCTATTTGTCCACAATAAGCTCCATCAGCTGAAAGGGAGCTAGAGAGCGATGAAGAGGCAGATAAAGAGGACACAGTGGGTTGAGCAGCAAGATGGAGGGAGTGAGATAATAACAAAGGGTGTAGTTGCGAGGACAGGGTTAGTGTAGTGCAAGGCTCACCGTACACTGATGACAGCTCAGTTAAGTGGCGCTTGGTGTAACATCTGTAAGAGGTCAGCCTGTGTAAATTAACTTCCCTCAGATAATGAGTCCCACTGGCTCAGAACAGTCATGCATGAATTATGGGAGGGTTGGAAACATACTCATTGCAGGAGGAAATGTGCAGATGATGGAGAAGCAGAAAGTCCAGATTGAATGTTTTGTGTCGTTGTGTGGGCGGATATCAAGGTTTGTTGGCTTTTTCTGCGTGTGTGGGCGTGAGCAGCTAACCTCCTTTTCTTCTGCACATATTCACAGTAACCTCCTAATCCCCGTCACACCTCCACCACAACGCCAACATCCTCCTCCTCAGTGTTGTACCACAAAATAAAATGCTGGGTCAACTGTGAACTCTTATTTACTCAGAGCAGAAACACCAACCTCTAACAGTGTAAAAAACAGTGATTTCCAGTGGTGGAAGATGTATTCAGATTATTTTTCTTAAGTAAAGTAAATAATTATAATCAGCTAAATGTACTTGTAATGTTGTATTATATATTGGATTATTATTTGTGATGTGCATTTTACTGTTGTACTTGTGCTTGAGGTGGAGCTTTTTGCTAATTATTGTATATGCTGTTGGGTAGTTTAATGTATTTTATTTTCAAACCATATGTCGAACTTATTAAATATGATGCATTGTTATCATGTTTTATAAGTTCATCATATGTTTTGGTTGTAAAATCTAAGTCTGCAAAGTAACTGGTAAGTAAAGTCAGATATATGTAGAGGAGTAAAAAGTACCAGAACATTTCAAGTATAAAGTAGCATATAATGGAAAGACGGGCAAGTAAAGTAACCTCAAATGTGTATTTAAGTACAATACTCTTTTCTGAAGAGTTTTAATTTATCTTTTGTGTTCTTGAATGAAAAAAACTATTTCGAGTAATAAAAATTTATTATGTTTAAATACCATCAAACCTGCAAGTAATTCAAATAGACAATATTTCTTTTTCACAACAGACACTTTGTGTTGTCACAGTAAGGCACAGGTGTTACTAACAATGATGGCTGACGGTGACATTGTGACAGTGAGCCAGCATGCACAACACCAGGACCCTGAAGCTGAAGCAGAAATGGAATTCAGCCTTCATTCATTTAATTGTTTATAACTGTGTTTTTCCTACTGTGCCATGGCAAAATGTCTTCTGTGGAAAAAGGCCTATGAAAACTCATAAATAAATAGTTATACCTCAATAAATATTAGTGCAACAACAATACTAAGCTGCACCTAATATATACAGTAGGTTACTTAAAGGAAAACATTAACACATGTAAAAAAAAAAAAACAACATACATATACTACAAAAATGTGCTATTACACATTTTTTGTTAACATGACATACTGTAATAATAATGCTAATAATAATAAACTTTATTACATTAGCCACTTCTCAAAAAGTGTTACAAAGTTCTTCCCAAGGCAGTAAAAACAAAATGAATGAGGCACTGTTACAATGGAGTAGAATAAAACTTATAAACAATAACATACTGTATACCTAAATAGAAAGAGGTATTATGGATTCTATCCTCACACAAAAAAGGGACATAGGGTGTCTTTTGGTGGATTTTTCCTTTATTACATCCCTGACTGACCTCATCTCAAAGTCAGAGGCCCAGTCTGTAGTTGTGTTTACATACAGTACATGAAGTACATAAAGTACATGAAGGCATCGCATCCAGCTTGAAGGTGACAGATGGGCAGATAAGCACTCCCTGTAATCCAAACAGATGACAGTAGTAATCCTCTAAAGTGATTCCCTCCATCAACTACATGTTAGCCTCGGTGAGCGAGCGGCTGCAGGGCTCTGGTGTTGTTTGGTGGACAGACAGACTGTGTGTTATGACCTTTTTTTAAACAGTCTGGTTATGACAACAGCTTTTGGACCCCATTCCTCATTTCAACTGATGTGTTTGGCACACAACAGGGTCACACTAGGTATTTGTGTTTGTGTTGACCCACAGTGGATTTAGAGATTGCTGCATTTTTTTATGCCCATTCAGTTTGTCATTCACAGAAAAACCCAATAAAACTGACTCATAAATGTGTTGCCCTGACTGCCTAAACATGGTTGAATTCATTGTTTTTCATGGTAATCAGAAAATCTATTTTAGAGGAATAGTTTCATATTTTAGGAAACATTCCCCTAGATTAAACAAACAAGATTATGTATGATAATTACTGAGTTTTAGAGGTGCTTGTGGGTGTATTTTCTTACATTTGGACAGAGCCGAGCTAGCTGTGTCCCCCTTTTTCCAGTCTTTAAATGCTAAGCTAAACCGCTGGCTGTAGCTTCACTCTTATTATACAAATATAAGAGTGGTATTGATCTTCTTCTCTGACTCTGCAAGAAAGCAAATAAGCATGTTTCCCAAAATGTCTAACTTGTCCTCTAAAGTTTTATTTGACCAAGTATGAAAGGAGTTCAATTTATTGTTAAAATCACATATATGACACCAAGATCTATGTGATGCTCTCTTTGCAGTGTTAGGAATGACATCTTCTTGTTTTGAAATTAGATGCTATTGCTTGTCTTGCTAGGCATTTGATTGTAATTAAATGGAAATCTCCTTTTCAACATGGAGTCATTCTTATAATAGCAAATGGATTTATTTTTACAATGCCTGAAGTGCCTTGTGGTATACAGGGTTATAGAGAAGAATGACAAAATAATCATTCTCTATAATAATGCTAATAATTTCATGAATTGAAATAAACAACCACGACTTGTAGCGTTATTTTAACCAATTTTTTCTTTTTGGCTTGTTTATTTGTTTTTGCTGTCCTTCCTTCCACTCTTATCTGTATTTTGTGACTTTGATGTAATTCTGTTATCTTGTTGTGTTTTTTTTTTTCATACCTTTAAAAGCAACAAGCATTTGATAAAAAAAAAAATAATAGACTAGGTTTGTCTCTCCTGTCAAGCTGTTTTTTCAGGTTAGGGATGTTGAATATTTACTGTGTCTAGTCTAATACTATAATTTCTTTGTAATCTCTTTTTCTTTTGTCCTCTAACTATAATCCTCAGAGACATTTTAGTGAGGCGAAGGAGTTGAGCCACCCCGAGTCATGATCTCTCTCCTATTGTATTGTGATATAAAAAGTGCAAGAGAATTCAGGTAACATTTTACTTTAATTCCCACAGTGTAGCATTAATAGGCAATAATATTTGAGAAATTGTTTATACACTATAATGTAGCTATAAGCAGATATAAGGAAATGTTTTTACAGTAATCTTCAACAATTATAACCTCCTGTTGAATATACATACTTTATATTATTAGAACTGTGTTTCAATAGGCCTATATTGTCATTTATTATCTGTTTATACACCATTTAGCTTATATTATAGTGTGTTATAAACCATTATTAAACATACCGCCTATGCTAATGGTTTTTTAAAGTAATTCCCCTTTTTAGTGAATTCATTATTTATATTATAAAAGGTATTTAATAACTTCATTTTAGGTCCCTCTATACTGTACTGTGTCTAAGTTATTTTTTCACTGGAGCTGATCCTAATATATAAAGCTCATAATCTCCAACAGGTGAAAAGGACATAGCCCATATAGACAGTGAGTCAGTATGACTCAGGAGGGGAAGCACAGATTGCTCACAAGAGCCAGAACAACACCATTAATAGTGATTAACAATCCACATCATGCTCTTGTTATATATGGCTGGTTTTTGATTTTGGCAGCTTCTGAGCACTTGGGACTGAAAAAGGTTGCTTGACAGCCATCATTGTCTGGCTGACTTACAACAGAGCACACCCACATCTGGACAATCAGGGTCATGTCTTTTTCAAAGTTAATGTCTGCCATAGGTGTCATTTATGAGAAAACATGAAATGCAATTTAAATATAGACGAAACAAATCTGTCTTTTCCAAAAAAAGTAACTCAGGCTAAAAAAGCTGCTGATTATTGCATTATATTTGATAATATTTTCATATTCAGATTTGTCACCGGCCACCTGAATTTTGTTTCCCTTCATATAAATAAAGACATTTCCACCATAAATTGCAGAAAGTGTCTTTAGAAATTTTTCTAAATAGTATTGGAGTAGCTTGTTCTTGTGACTTCAATATTGTGTATTATCATGTCTCTTGGAGCGTTTCGTCACAACCCTAAAATGACCCCTTAAATGTCCCCACCACTTTTTAACACAAAGTGACACCCTTGATGTCCGCACAAGTAAAAAAGTCAGCTTTTAAGTATACTGCTCCTGTGTAAGTAGCTAATGGCCCATATGCTTTGTTATTTATCCTAGAATTTAAATTATTGTGGGCATGTGGATCTGCACTTAGATTTACTGTCTATTTTATCACTACCGGTATGTCAGATTTACGACAAAATACTGTCATTCTGTATATATCCACAAACCGTAATACATGTATTATTATTATTTGTTTGAACCTATAGCTTTTGAATCCCACATGGAGTCGGATCAGATCACAATAAACCCAACCATCCAATAAGTAATTATTTTCTTTCAATGCCAATATCAACTTTATTTATATAGTTGATATTGACAAAGTGCTATATTTATGTAGCACTTAAAATTATTCATAAAAATGGGAAAAGAA